AACAAGTAACAGCAGCACTAAAAACTTACAGGTCGCAAAGGCAGGCCCTTGTCACTTAGGGTGCATATTGGTCTCGCAATGCGGCTCTTCGGATGGTGAAATTTACAATTAGATTTGAATTTGCAATGCCCAGTTTTTAAGTAGTAACTGCACTCTGGTTCGCCAGGCCTTTCTGGATACTCATCAACCTGCATCTGCTTTGGATGAGGCATATAGACATTTGTTTCAATAGCTGGGTTGTTCACAACGTATGTAGATGGTGGGTGCATAGTCCTCTCTGTTAGGTAGACGGGTGCCTTTACAAAGCACAAACACAGGTCAAATAAGTAGGAAAACAATCACTGCTAAAAGTTCAACAGGACGAGTTGTAAACTCTTTAGGCCAAAAGGAAGGGTAAAATGAAACCATCCTTGTCTTGGGTCACATACAAATTAATCATAGCCTGCTTCATCAGAATTAAGACAAAGCAGCAAAAGATTATCAACAGAAGTTAGTGAAAACGAAAGGAAAACGGGGAGGGGTTGTGGAATGAACGTGAAATTCAGAATGTTAAGTTCTGCTCATCATTTCATTAACGGCTCAAAGCATGATGGACAAGTTTAGGTTCACTTTTAGCCTTGCAAGCATGAAGTAAAAAGGTTCATAGATTCCTCTGTATAATGACATAATTGAAAGCCGTAGGATACATCGTTATCAGTAATAAATTACCTGATATCCGTTCCAATCAGAACTTTGGGGAGAAACCCCTTGAACAGGAGGAATCATCATTGGCACAAAAGGAGCAGTTTCATTTAATGTTCTTGGAGAAGACCAAGAGGGTATAGATGGCTGTGATACACCTTGTAAAGGAACAGCCCCACCATTAGCATATGTTGCAGGAGGATCACTTCCTCCCACAACAGTAGGATCAGGGTGATTGAATTTGCAGTTTGCACCGAACTTACAAGAGCCAGTACGCATATAATAGGGGCATTCTTTCTCTCCCTGTCATAAATAACGACCTCATGAAAGTTAAGGAATAGTAAATTCAGAATGGAGAAAGAGACAGGATAGGAATTAGAAAATATCTGGCAACAAAAATGAAGTTCCATCATAACTTGATCAACAGGAAACAACAATTATACCAGACGAATGGGAAGGCCGAGAAAGTTAAGTTCCAAAATAGTGGTTGCAGAACATCCTCTGGTGTGGTTAAATTTACAAGCCTTTCCGTATTTACAGCCCCCTGACTTTAGATAATACTGTCATCAAAACATAAACAGACCAAAATGTTCATTATAAATATCATGCATAGTGCAAATATGGAAGTTATGTCTTAAACATCAAAATAAAATCTAACTATGCTTCCTACAGAACTCGTTCCACAGAGGTCAAGGCATTTTTCAATACAGCAATAGATAAAGTAGCCTAAGTAGTAAGGATTTCCTGTCATCTCCCATTACAGTCATCCATATGTTCTTCAATTTATTTCCTCAAATCCAATTTATTTATCGACGACTATTATCAATTCTATGTAAATGTTAATATTATAACTGTCATCAACCTTATTGATTAACATATTGAATTGATATGAATTCAGGTATAAACATTACGTTCTATGTATATTACTTAGTCAAACCCAGGCATTGTTCCATCTTTATATCACCTAGTCAAATGTCAAATTCAATAGCCCACATCCTTTACAATGGCAAAGTTATGTGCCCTCCCTTCCTCTTAGACTGTAGAAAATATTACAGTAGCTAAAATTGAACAAATTTAGTGTTTAAATGACCTGTAATCCAATAAAAGGGAAAAATAATTGCTCAACAGAACTAATGGATTTTCTTTTCAACAATGAGACAAGATGAATGCACAACTCAAGTCATCACATTGACGATGAGATAACACAATATTAAAATTGCAGTTTGCAACAATAATTGTATGACAACATAAATTTGACAATAACCTTGCATTCAGTCTGCCCCGGTCTTTCTCCTGATTCTTCTCTTTCTCTTCCCTTCTCCTTAACAACCTAAATTTAATGTCAAAACATCAAACGCAGAAGTTTTATGAAGTAACGGAATAAAAAAACGTTTCCAGTTCTATAAAACATATAAGAAATATCACTTGATGAGCACTCACCACATAGCCCCATTCTTTAAATATACATAAAAGGAACTCCAAAAATGGACCCTTTAAATACATATAAAGAACGAATTCCTCCATAAAGTACAAGTAACAATTGAGCATCAGGCAATCGGTCATGACGAACAATCCTGACCGGTACCTCAAATAGAAACATGATCGCAAAAGCAAAACGCCTTTTTTCTCATTTCTGGCTAACGTGAATAATCATATAATGTTAATATATACACATGAAGAAAAGCAGGGATACATAACATAATGTTCACGAGAAAATTATGTGTTCATTGAATAACATACAGAGTAGTGCAATATAATACCTGGATTTTCCTCCTAAGAGGATGATTAAACTTGCAATTAAACCCAAACTTGCAAGTTCCAGTCCTGAGATAAAACGCACAATCTTCAGCTTCGGGCCTCACCGGGTACTGGTGTGCTCTACCGCTACTTTCCTCATCGTTCTTCTCTGCTTCATCACCGACAGTTACATTATCTATACCAAAATTATCATTCTCACTCTCGTTCACATTCTCCCCCCAACCATCGTCCTCATTTCCATTCCAATTCTGGTTAACTTCATGAAACACTTGTTCCTTCTCAGATTCTCCGGTATCAGCTATACCACTTTCTTCAATACCATCATGAAAGCCTGAATCTTTCTCCTCCTTTTCCTCTTCGCCCCCTTCATCCTTATCCTTCAAATCCAACTTGTCCTGAAGGTCTTCCTGAAGGGCATCAGTCTCATCCGTGGGACTGAGATCTGACGTTTCAGGATCGTGATGGGAACTAGGGAGGGAAGAGGCTAACTGAATGCCCAATTCTAGGTCTATGGTGGAGTTCGAAACAGCTGTTGAATCGGATTCAGAGGGATCCATTCTCCCTCCACATTTCAAACCCTAACAAGTGACAACAGATATTACTGAAAAGGAACTGGAATAGATGTGAGTGTGTGTGTTTGAGAGAGAGTGAGAGAGAGAGAGAGAGAGAGCTTATATTTTGATTGAGTGCTGAGAGAAGTAAGCCCGAAGTGTCTAGTGTGAACACACAAGTGAGCGAAGGAAAAAATGGCGTTACTTTTTTTTGCCTTTGATGGGGTGCCTGAACTCTGAACACTACAGACTACAGTTTCACTGTTTTCATGTTTTGTAGTTCGTAATTGTAAATAATTTTATACGGGTCAAGGGGGGATGCCATAGCCGTACTCGGCTGCCGGTAGAGGAAGTCGAAAGGGGTGGACCGTCGGAAAGAAAAAACGAATAAACAATGAGAAAATAGACAGGAAGAAAAAGAAACAACAAAACAGAGTCGGAAAGTTAATTTAATAATATATTAACTCAACACACGCATTTTGAAAAAGAAAATAATAGATACTTGGGCATGGGAATTGAACAAGCGTTCGTGGGGTTAGGTTCAGAAGCAGCCTAATCAATGGGCTTGGAAAACGGAGGTTGAGTTGAGGAAGTGGATTTGTCTGTTTTCAAATGAAAGATGCTGAGATTATGCAATGTTTGTTTTGGGTCAACTGATAATAATTCATGAACATTGTGTGTGGGGTTTGCTATCTAATGGAGCATCTTCCAAGTTGGCCATTATATAAAGAAAAGGTGTAAGAAGAATCTGCGGACCAATTTGTACTTCAGTATCGCCCATAAATAACAAGTTGGCCGAGGCTATAAACTTACTTTTACCTTTTCTTATAGGTCTTCATCTTTTTATAGGTTTCACTTTTATCTCTTTTTGTATTGTGTTCAGTTAATAATGTTATTGATTTCAATTATTTTAAGCCGCTTTTTCTTGATGATTTTTGTTTTTGGCGAGAATGAGAACCAAAAAGAAAATAATTTTTAATCGAACAAAAAGGACATATTTGACATCTCACAAAACACAGACATTTATTTCACTTCTATATCTGAGTTGATGACAAAAAATTTTAAAATGAAAATGAAAAATAATCAAATATCTATAGTTCTTACGCAAAAATATGGTCAACCTAATATAGATGCCATGCACTGCGTAAAAGTTCAAAACGTAAGGCATTATTCATTTTCAGAATTTATGAAAAAGTGTGACTGCTTTTATATATGTATAATTTTTAATTTTCCAAGCTAAAAAAATCTATACACCTTTAATAAGTCAAAATATTTACTTCTAATATTCTGTTCAAAAATGTAGTTTTAAAATTATCAAAAATAGAAAAACAAATTTGTTTGAAAATTAAAAACATTCATATACCTATTTGGTTGCTTAAAGAACAACTGCTTCCTTCCTTCTAAGCGTAGTTGGTAAAGCCAACTTCGTTCATGGAATTGGGATTGCTCCATATGTACGATAGTCAAACCATTAGAATGAGAATGAAAACAAATCTACCAACCAAATTCCTCTGGAATTCTCATTCATATTCCCGTCAGGATAACCTTCAAGCAAACGAGACCTTTTTTTTTGTTGTTTTTTTTTGGGGGGGGGGGGGGGAGGTCTTGCCATTCCAAGCCTATACAAAAATGTTTCCTGCAAGCATACATATGTCTGAAACAGTAGAGTTTAGCAAACTAGCTTTAAAACCATGCCATTTACCACCAACCTTTATGTAATACTATCTCAAATCCGAATTATAAAACCTTATTTGTAAACTACAAATAAAGTCTTATAATTAGAACCGAAGATAGTACCATTTATTGTGATCAAACGCTTGAGAATGCACCAAAAACTCTCTTTGTAGAAGCTACAAGGATGGGAGCTGACTAAAGCCAACAGTTTGAGTTTGAACATATCATGAGTGTGGCCTCATTGGGGCATGCATTATGCATGAGTCTAGTACCATGCAACCGCAGGTGTCGGTGACAAGGGGTGAGGAGCGGAGCGTTACACCAAAGTTAACAGGGTGCAGAAACATTGAGGCAACGATTGATCAATAATCGGTTGAGAATCATCTGTCTGGTCCAAGTATTCACTATGGAAGAAATAAACAATTGGGCAAAAGACCCAGCAAACAGAATTAATAGTTACTCCCAGTGGCAATTGCAGGGATCTCCTAAAATTCTATCTAGACCTAGTCCTAGTCCCGTCAATTGAACAATGAGTTAAATTCATAATGTTTATTGGTCTCTTTTCTTTGCTGAATGGCCAGTCTTTCGCTTATGGCGACTAAAATCAGACACAAACCTAAATGTTTGCCCACAGCCTGGCTCAGCACAAGCATATGGACGAGCTCCGGTATGAACTCGAATATGTTCAGTGCGTGCCCATGCCCACTTGAAAGTCATCTTGCAGCCCTTCCAAGGACACTTCAGGGGCCGGTCATCCACGTGGACTCGACGGTGTTGCACCAGATACTTGTGTGAGAAAAACTTCTTTCCACAATCCTTTACTGGACAGATGTTTCTCTTATGCAGCACAAGCTCCTGTTTGGACCCAAAACTCAGGGTGCACCCCTCAATGTCACATTGATAATATGCGTCTGCCTCCTCATCCTTTAATCTAGCATGGCCAGCTGAAACCTTTGCAGGCATGGAATTCTTCACCTTTTTCCTTTTAGGTTGCTTTTCTTTGGGTATTGCCTCAGACTCATCAACTTTTGTAGCTCTCTTCCTAAGGCGTGTGCTAGGTCCACCTTCCTCCTCTTCAATATGTAAACTAAACTCTCTGTAGTTATTGGATTGATTATTCCGCACACGTGGACACTGCTTCATTTGCTGAGAAGCCTTGGCTTTAACAAGCAGCCGAGCACTGTGTTTTACAGACTGGGATGTCTGCTTTTTCACACTGCGAGGTTTAGCATGTTTAATTTGCCTCACTGTCTCTGATTTGAGTTGATTACTTCGAAGAAGCCTCCTCTGCTGCTGGTGAGAATCCCCCTCCACTTGATAGTCCAAATTACTGTCATCTCCATCCATGCATTTAACTTGCTTCCTTTTAGGTGTGTTTTGCAGAAAACGATGATTTTCAATGGAGACATCCAAAACTTCTCTATTAATGCATTTCTTTTGCTTGCTCCTAGGAGTACTTTTATGCTTCTTCTGAGATTGATGCTCTAAATGGTCATCAGACAATGCATCTTCCTTAATTAGGCATTTTGTTTGCCTGCTTTTAGAAGTCCTTCTTTGATACTTCAGAAAAATATTTTCAAGTCGGTCATTAGATATAGTATCCTTTTTACCAAGGTACCTGGCATGCCTGCTTTTGGGAATCCTTTGTTGTTGCTTCTGAGTGTGACACTGTTGTTGGTCATCAGATGTTGATAAATCTTCCCCAGAAAAGCATTTGGTTTGTCTGCTTTTGGAAATACTGAACCGCCGCTTCTGAAAATTCTCCATTTGACCATCGGAAGTTATATCTTCTTCAGCTATGTATTTGGCTTGCTTGCGTTTACAAGTCTTCCTATGCAGCTGAAGAGAACAACCATCCAATGAATCCTCTGAAATTCCATCTCTCCCTACATCTTCAACTCGCTTGCTGCTAGATTCACCCCTCTGCTGCCAGTCAGAATCATATTCCATTTTATCTTGTGAAACCACATCATCATCATAAAATTTAGGTTCATTGACAACATTTCTCTTATGCTGCATATGAGAATTATCATCCAGCGAATCATCTGAAACCATACTACTTTCAATGCATTTTGTTTTGTTACTTGTATGTTTTCCATGACGTGCCAGTGTAGAATAATCCCCTTCCAAAGCATCACCATCTCCTACAATATATTTGGCTTGCTTATTTCTAAACATCTTCCTTTGCCGTGGGTTGGTTTTGTCTTCAGGTGAATTATCTGAAAACCCCTGTCTCTCAGCAAAAACAGCTTTCCTGGCTCCTCTGTCTTCTACAGTCATTTTCCTTTTCTTAACGGATTTTCTATTGGTAGTATTGTTTCTGCGGCTACTTTCTGACCTCTCAATTTTCTCATTGGGTAATGAACACCCATGTGATCCTTTTTCATCCTCTCCATCTTGAAAGTCTATTTTTGCTAAAAGAGGATGGACCTGATTGGACATCCAAACTTTGCCACACCATTTCCCAGCAACTACCTTCTTCTGCTTGTTGGCCCTCCTCTGATAAACCTTGGGCTCTGTAGCTGAGTTTGCTGGAGAGCTACAGCCAAATGCATTATATATAACAGAATTGTAAGGCATCTGCTTACTATACAAAGGAGAGCGGCTAAGACTGGCACTAAAAAAGAGATTGATTCCCAGTTTTACAGCCCAGTCTCCATTACCAGGAACAGCTTCCTCACTATCTAGTGATGCTTCAATCCTCTCCTCATCCTCTTCAGTAGCATGCCTGTATTCAATATCCTTCCAAGCATAATCATTCCCCAGTTCTTCGGCCATAAGCTTTGCTTCGGCCTCTATCTTGGGATAATCTGCACAAGTGTGTTAAAAAATCATGAGTCATTTGCAAGGAGATGAATATCAGTATTTCATTGTAGTTGCGTAAGCCTAAAGAAAAGGCTCAACCTTTTCATCATCAAAGGCTTCATAGCTTTCTAACACATTATTTACCCCATGCTCTCTGTTTATGCAAATTTTGATGCAAAATAATTGGAGTTTCCTGCATTGTTGATTCGTTGTAGACAGATACCGCATAATATTTTTGCCCAAATATATAATTAAAAAAGATAACATCAAGGCTCAAGCAGGTCACATAAATTATTTAAAAGTAATGGAGTTCGACAATGGTTTTGTTAAAAGGTAGCTACACCATTCTCTTACCATGCAACATGAACTAACATAGCTTCCATCAAAAGTGTCTGATGTTCAATAACCACAGTTAATATTTAAAACTAAGTTGACAACGGGTCCATTTCTAACAACAGAGCAAAAGAGATAGAAGAGCTAAGATCCTATCACAAAGAACTTGGGCATGAGATGTGCAATACAGGACTTATGTGCTAAAAAGCATTTATCGGGGTAGTTAATCCATTAAACAGCAGACCTGGATGACAAAGGAGTAATATGTGTGATCCCCCTATTGGATGAAGTTGCTGTTCGACTTCTGCAGCATGCTCTAGACAGAAGATATGCATTCTAGACGAGTCTTCATCAGATTGTGGCACAAGTGGAACATTTTTATTATCAATGGGAACTGTAGCCTTGCACATCAAAGTTTCAGCATCTTGAACATCATGGGAACAATTCAAGTAGGAATGAGGCAATGCCCTTGTACTTCTAAATGCAACCCCTGAGGTGACACTATAATCTTTCATCTTAACAGAGTAATCAAAAGTCTGATGACTCCCGCGGGGCAAACTAAAATTCTCCTCTTGAGGTCTACTTCCAGAGGCATAGTTTATAACATTTGATTCTTCATCATCACATCCAATATTTGGGTCAATCTGCTCTTCCTCAGAGTCAGAAGAATTTCCATATGCGGAAGCCAGTAAGCCAAGAGCTGTAGTTTCCTTTTGTTTTCCAGTATTTGAAGCCTCCTTCAAGTCTTGACCTGCAAACTGCATGTGGTGTTCAAGCTGGACGGGAACACCAAATACACCACTTTGGGCATTCTTTTCTGTCCATCCTGCAAGATGAAAGTTCAACGCTGAGTAAAGCATCTAGCAAACTTTTGAAGGATAAAGCTGACGTAATATCATAGGTATTTAGCTGCTTCGGTAGCTCTTTATACACGCACATCTTAGGAGCTTCGCACAGTAATTAAGTGCATGTTACCACTCTCAGTGTGAAAATTTATAAAAGTGAGATTGGTGCTCTTACTAATGACAAATTCATTGCATGCCTACTCAAGCATCTACGAATACAAGCAAGACACTCTTCCACTGTTACATATAGGAAAGATAAAATTCCATAGGTGTTTTCCGGGTTCTCTTCAAACGGAAGATAATGTGAATTTTTTAAAGAACCAACCATCTGGTACTGGGATTTTAAAATATTAATTCGTCAATGTTGTGATCAAGGAACCTATTTGTAACATGTAAAAAATACAAGTAATTCTCGTCCACTCATTTAAATATTCAACTAATCAATTGAGTTCTCTCTGTCATGCACAGGAACAGAGGGTGAAAATCAGCTATGCTACAGGTAAGTCCACGAAATTGAAAACAAGTATATATAATCATGTAAATTAAAGCCCAGATTGATATTGAATCTCTCTTCAGTCAATCACAACATGACCGATCCTTCAAAAATAAAATAAGCAATGACTGTATCTAGCCAGTATGAAGATGTATGGAAAAATATAGTAAAATCCCACAACAAGAAATAAGAAATTAAAGCGGCATACCATAACTAAGGAGTAAATAAATTTGTTTCTTCCCATCTCGCTTGTAAAAACATGGGAAGCATCTCCCACCTAGCCTACTTCCTACTTATCAACTCTTAAGCTCAAGCAAAAGTTGATGAGGAGCAATGAATAGTAAATGGACAATTAAAAGGATCAAAACAGGATAAAACAGCCCAAGCCAATGCAGAGCCAGACAATAGCCTACAGGCACAGCATTTGTATTCCTGTTCCACAGCAGGCAGTTATCAGGACAGGCTGGTCACGTAGCTCTTACATACAAAAGAAATGAGGAATATACATTAGACACATTTCCTGATAAGCATACAACAAACATGGGAAGTGCCTGGAATAATGAGTGTAATCAAACAATCATTACTGACATGACTTTAAGAAAGCAAATAAAGAAAAAATAACAGTAATTTTTCAATAACCATTTGAGATTTAATAAGATATACTAGAAATAGAAACTATAAATAAATCCTGCCTGTGAGGGTGCTCTGTGAAGAAATTGTTGCATCTCCATTGGCAACGGTAAATTTATTGCTAGTTACTCCAGATCCAACACCCCAATCATTAAAGAAGCTACAATCAGCTGACATAAGGTATCTAGCAGCTGGTTCTCTAGGCTTTACAATAGCAACACAGGCAAAGCTTAACATTCCACATGTGACACATGAAAAGAGTCTCTGATCTGACAAGCCATCTCTTTGATCTGTTTCTTTTTCAGTGTCTCTTTGCAGTGTCTTCGAAGTTGAGGTGCATGTGTTATCATTTACACTTAACGAGGAAATCCTAATCCTTTCCCACAATGAAGCAAACTTTTCTTTTACTGAATAGAAACCTTTGGCTTGTTTGATTCCATGATTACTGTTGTAAGCCAGGTCATCAGAAACAAAACCTATCGAGGAGTTTACTCCTTCAGATTTGCATGTACTCAAGGTATACCGAGGGTTCACTTTCAGTTGCTGGGATCCAACACGTAATTTTGAGCAAACAGAAATGTCTGAAGAGCTCTGAGGAAGAATTACTACCGCAGATCCTTTCCCAAGCACATGAAGCAGCTCATTATTTTGCAGCACATCCTGGATAAATAATTCTTTAATTACAGTTTCTCCTTCACCCTTCCTCTTATCTTTAAGTCGAGAACTCCGTGGCTCGGGACTGATCCTTTCAGGAATTCTGCAAGCAGAATACAAGAAATTTACAGGGTGCATATATTAAAACAACTCAAATTGCCATCATGATTTAGTACCACGAGCATATCATATTTACTGATGAAGACTTCTCATCAAGGAAAACCCAAAAACAGTGAATAAGTGTTGTCATTTATCAATTTTTTAGGCCGACGAATAATTGTTTTGATAGAGGAAAAGAGTTAAATGGTAGGAGAAAAGGAATCCTCCTACATTAAGAAACACAAACCTTTAATTTTTGGTCAAAACTTTTTATCAGGAAAGATCTGACTTAAGAGATGATATGCAAGATTTCCTCCATTCCCTACTAAATCTTTAGGGATCAGCATTGATTCTTTGTATATCTAGGAACAAGTTTTTTAATTTAATTTAACTTAATTTAATGTATCCCTATAAATCTGCATTACCCTTCTATCACAAATGAAAACTACCTTCATCTTTTACATGGCATTAGAGAAGAGATTCTTGTAGATTTGCCATAAGTCATTCTTTGCCTTCGGTACCATTTCAGGTCCATTTGTTTCTCTCTTCCTTGACGTTTCACATTCTAGGGATGTTTTGAGTCAATCGTAGTGCTTTTAAAGTCTGGCACCATTGGCATTAATGTGTTCCAGTTCCATTATATAGATTTTTTTCCTTTAAAACCCTTTCTGCTTATTCAAACTGATGTTTGGAGTCTTCCTAGAATTCAACAAAAGAGTGCTGTAAGGAGGTTTGTCACTTTAAACAATGATTGTCTATGCACTGAATGTATCAAAGCCTCCACAGCTGAGTGTTCAGGAGTTCAATCCTTCACACCCTCCATTCTCTTAATTATTAAGTATCAGCACAAGGCATGATAGGCCTTGGTATTGTCCAAACTTAAAAGTCCAAAGGGAATTCGTGCAAAGGGGCATGTTAAAGATTATAATAAAATTATTCGTGGGTCTCTGCTTAATAACTTGAGCTTTTGAGTCAAAATGGTACGTGACAAAATCTGCAAAAACTTCAGCTAAGATAAGCTTCCCAATCAATCCCTTTGCAAAATCACAATATTTAGCACTCACAAAGCCATTCGTCAAAACCAAAAGGGGAACCAAAAGGATAGCACTCCCCAAAGGTGTGATGTAAGAAAAATCTAATTAAGAACTCACTCTATTCTGCCATGAACACCAAAGGCTTACAAAAGCAGCACACTACCATAGGGTCATATGCACCTTCTTTCTCCCAAACCATTAAACTTAATCACCAATGAAAGATCTAGACTGCTGGAGAAATACAGTGCTCATTCAAGATGCAAAAATGTCTATTATTGAGCTGTGCGTAAGAACATCATCCAAACAGATGACTACTTGCTTCATCTCCAATAACAATCACACAAACATCAGTGAGTCCAAGTGTGAAGCAAAACATGCAGACAAATTCGATTCAATACTGTAGTTGAAACATAAGCCTTCATCTTAGAGGGATATTAAGTCTTCAGTTATTTCAATAAAGTAATATAGAAGTTATGCAAATGTTAGGTTATATCTCAAATGATATTTTTAACTTGTGGCATGCAATGACATCTTCAAACTCTGTTAAGCTAACACTGTAAGGTCAAAACGGCATTAATCTTCTATGATGGCAGTAGATCATCTGATAAACAATATATATGCCAAGATACTGAGAGGACTCTTCAATAGCCAAAAGTAAGAAGCGTCAAAATGGGTAAGGCGAACCTAGTACACAAAGCTAGAGCAAGGTCATAAAGTAATTGGAAATGTGAAACCATGGGAGGATAGTTTATTGATGCCCTCCGAATAGCAGCATCTTTCGCAACCCTCAACCACTCAGGTGTTGCAATGTTAGCTGCCTCCCCACAATTAAATCCTACAGAACATACATTGAAAGGATAAATAACATATTCAACTACTGATCATTATATTAATCAGCTGGTAAAAAAAAAGATCATTATATTAATCAAAATCTTCCTGGAAGAAAAAACGGGGGGTGTTAGAGCCAATTGCACATTAACTTACCATGACTAAACCCGGTATGATAGGCTCTTGGAAACGTGACAACAAATTCTCCAGCATTTTGCACTAACCTGATTCAAAGTAATTGGAAGTCATCAAGATACAAACACGTTCACATAAGGATTTATGACTTCTAACATTAGCAGTGATAATTCATTCTTTTAATTGATTTCAAATTGGGGGGGGGGGGGGGAACAGTTAACTGAAGCGGCTAAGGGATATAGTTGCTATAAGAGTGTTGCTAAAACTGCAACTGAAATCTTCCAGCTTTATAGTTTCCATTTCTGCTAATAGCATTAAAGTTGAACCAGGTAGCCCTTCGAAACGAATCCACCCACCCAAGCCAAAACAGATCATTTAAGTAACTTTTAGTTGAGATTGGTTGACTGGATTATCAAACAAAGAATACAATAACAAATATAGGGCAGTTGAGGAAAATATTTATTACCTGCAGCACGGAACCCCAGCACTAATAAATACTTCAGGTGATATCACTGTGGTTTTCTCACCAATAGTAGAAAAAGTCACTGATTGGCAGGGGGGGAAAAAAGATTTGTGTAAGTTTTAGCAAAACATCAAACCATATATCAGTAAAGCCAAGAATCATCCTCTCAACATATAAACTAGTTTCTCTCAGCAATTCAGAAAGGTACCAAGCAACCAACTACTTTCTTTCTTTCTCCACACACAAATATAAGGAAACACGGTGCATCAAATATGATATAACCAATGAAGGTAAAGAAAACCACAGTTGGATTAGAGAATCATCCCAAGCAAATACAAGCGAAAGGGAAAGTAAAGGCAGTGTGTTAAGGTTGAGTGACAAAGGGGGATAATTTCTTTAATCCAAAAGGGTAGAAAGCCATTAAATTTGTCCAATCAAAGGGCCCATCTGATCCTTCCTAGAGAAATAATACAGTACCCTAATGACAAGTATTAAAATCCCAGTTTTGTAATTTTCATCATTGTAATTAGAACTTGAGTCATGTTTAATAGGCCAAGACTTTAACAGAGATTCAAATATCAAAATAATATGACTTCACTGCCATGTCATGCTACCAACAATTATTTCTTTATCTGAAACTCACGATCACTGAGAGCGCATGAAATAAGTATCCAATTCAATATAGTCTGGTAAAAAACGTGTGCCATGCAGAAAAAGATGAAACAAACTACATGATGTTTATGAAAAGAAAAAATGGTCAAACTTAAAAGTAAAAACGAAAAACAATTTACATGATGATGAACATATCCACACCTTGCAGATATAACCATGAGGAGAACATGTCAATCGATCACAGCTGAGAGAAAACGATAGCTTTAGGCTATTTTTGATAATTAATTTCTCTCAAGAATTGGGGGGGGAAAAATGATAGTTTAATCCAACATGGTGAATTCAAAAACCTTCTAAAATGGAGTAGCGCGACATAAACAGTGGCCTAAACAAGTAAAATAATAACTAAAACTAGGAACAGGGGATGTAAGCTCTAATTCAGTGTCGGTTTTTAAGTTACCAAGAGGGTTTATTTCTCCTCCATAACCATCAACTCTGACCACTTCCTCAAATGCCACTGCTGCATCCCTTGGCACGCCATACCACGTCTTGCCTGACCCCATGTGTAGGTAATTCAAGCTATGCAAGTCATGATCCTCAACGTGCCAAGCAAACCAGCTGAACAACATAGCCACATACACCATTGGCGATGTGACTCCAGGAATCTCCTCCTTCATGAATCTCAACAAAGAGCGATTTGCCCTTGACACACCTCTCATGTTCCATGCAGTGTCGCCAACGCTAACACTCTCCCCTGTCTCTCTGCATTTCCTCCCAGTCAGGGGAACAAAAGCAGAACCAGGTATGTCGTTTGCATACTCAACTGAGAAGGGTTTATCTACTGTCGCCTTCCAATAAAGCGTTTCTATTTCCAGAGGCGAAAGCCCAGCCTTCTTTGCACATTTTTTCAGGTAGCTCTTCTCAAAAGCCTTGGCCTTGGCTTCGAATTCCTGAAATGTGTAGTACTCGCCACTTTCCCAAACAGGACGCTGCACGGGCCGTGGTCTGCGAGGGCAGAAGCCGATCTGCTGCTGCCTTGTGGTGAATGTAGGCTGAGCTTTCGAACCAAAAGAGTCAGAGGAAGCAGCTCGGGCAGCCAGAGAGCGATAAAGATTCGCAATTGCAGTCTTCTTCGGAGAAGGCGGCACGGGGGGCACGATTTTGCAGATTCCATACTTGGAGGCCTCCTTCTCGATCTTAAAAATGTATGCAATTGGATCTTGGAACTCAGCCAAAGTAGGATGGTACTCTGGAGCAAGAGGCAGAGATTTCAGCCATGGAAATACGTCTGCGTTGGGCTCTAAAGCCAGAGCAGCTGAACCTGCCATTAATGGTAACAGAGAAATTGGTAGAGCAGATTTGGGTATATCATTGAAGGCTCATTGCGGACTCAGTGGAAGGGAAGCAAAAGTTGTTCAGATTCCATTCTTCATTTTTCTTATTTCTTTTTTCTCTCTTTTACTCTTTTACTTTCTCCCCTCCTACCTTCTACCTTCCTCTGTTTTCAAAGTTTACAGAGGAGAGCAGTGGAGAGAAGGGTGAAAAATTAAATAAAATGGATTTGGGGCAGAGCAGGGTGGGAAGCTAGAGCAAATGGTTGACATGTGAGTGGGGTTTTGTTCGGGTTTCGGGTTCGCTCTATCAAGCTGACACCGTTCCCCTCTGTTATTTACCGAACTGCCACTTTTCCTCCCAAGTTTAAGAAATAGGGTATAATTTTTTTAAATAAAGATACTTTTGTGCTCAATCTTCAAACTTTAGTTGAGTATAATTTAATTTCTATGAGCTTGACTCTTTAGTAACTCAATTTCTATAACCTTTTAAATTTTGACTCAATATAATTTAATATATATAATTTAGTCATTTGAAATATTAGTGTGCAAGTTTAAAAGAATAACTTAAATCTCAATATTTTTATTTTCTAATATATGGATATAAACACTTTAAATAGTTAGAATTATATGAATTGAATTACATCAAATTAAAATTTAAGGATTAAATTTTAATTAAGTGAAAACTATAAACATTAAATTGTATTGAGTAAAGTTCAGAAATTGAATAGAAGCGAATAGCCTCCAACACATAAATTATGTTGAAAAAAAATAGCAACTCATTTAAAGACGTGTCTTATATAGTCCGCTTTGCTTAATTAGCCAAAAAACCAGCTAACCTTTTCCTATCAATTTCTTTGTTATAATTCTAATGAACAAAGATTATTGTTTTGTATTTATATTAAAGCATAATACATATTTAATTTTTTTTATTAATTTATATTTTTATATCCATAAAATAATAATGTAAGAAGTTTTGAGACTTATTTAATTAATGATTTTATAAAAATATACAAATAACTTAAATTTAATTTATTAAAATTTGTGATTCAATTGAAGAAGAAAAAATTGGTTGGCGTCAGCGCCAGCCCACACACGTCGTGAATTAAAGTCAAAATGTGTTAACCGCTTTAATCCCATTCGGCTGTGATTTAAGAGTATATGGCGCGCCAAAATGAATGGCCTAAATCATGAGAAGACGCCCACGGCTCACGGCTCACCCGGAAAAGAAGTCTTGCCATTTTCTGCGGTGCTGCCAGTGGCCTGCCCCCTCTTAAATACCCTATTTTATTTTTAGCCCATAAGTGTCCGCGTATTGATATTCTTATGATCTTATTAGCAAGGCCGTCCCCGCTGGAGTTAAGTGGACCCCAACAAATCGCTGACATGTAAGTGACGTCGCTTTTGGTGAACCAGGAAACACGTGTCGTAATCTAATTGGCAGCCTGTTCCCTCGGCCCTTTATTCTTTCTTTTTCAGTTGCTCCGAGATCCGTCCTTCCCATCCACTCATCCCAATGGATTCTCAAATTGCGGCACGCTCTGCCTCAACTCCTTATTCCATCTTGAGATTTAAGCTACTAAATTAAGGTGGTGTTTGGGTATCTTTAAAAATATTTTTATATAAATCGAGATAAATTTTTTTATATATTTATTTTATATATTTTAAAATCATTTTTAAAACTATGATTTGATTTTCATTCAAACACTTCCTAAGAAAATTTTCGAATCAAAGGAAAAAAAATTAAAAAGATTTGCAGGTTGGTTATCTATAATAAATATGAGTTAAATTTTATAAATTATCATTTTCATCATAACTAGCTTTGGATCGAACCCTCTTAATATTTAGGGCCGTGTGCAGTAATCTCATCCGCAGCCCGCAGGATAGGTGGGAAATATATATGTCTGCGCTCCTTTTTGCATGAAAAATAGACTGGAGGGTGCTTGACCTTATCTTGGGGGTAGTTAATTAAAAAACTTTTAAAAAATAAATTATAAATTTGAGAAACAAAATAAATTGATATCTTATATTTAAGACTAAATACAATTCTCAATTAATTCTTATATTAAAAAAATTAATTGATTGTAGTAATATCTAACATTTTGGCATTCAGATTCTAGCCTTCGATCGAATCATGTTCGGCAAACCTCGTTGCAACTCCTTCCTCTCTCTCTCTCTCTGCGCTTGCTTGCTCATGGCCTATGGACCCAGGGACTTATTCACGAGCACATCCCAACTGAGCTTAGCCCCCAAGTCCGAGATCCGACTAATATATTCTACAGGAAAATTTGATAACACCATGCATTAAGGCTCACAAATACTACCTCCGGTCCTATTTATAATATTTTGTTTGTAGTTTATAAATGAAATCTTATAATTAGAAATAAAAATACTATTGGTCAGATCCATTTTCAGTGAAAGCGCTGCTTCTAACTTAGAGTCCCAACACTACAGTCAGAGAAATTATTAGCAGGCAAGCAGCAGTTTTCACTAAAAACGGTAGTGTCAACCTGAATTGACTCAAGTTGACCAGACCCATCGAAATGTTGAGTTGCTTTGGGTTGGGCCAATGCCACGAGTCCTATTCGAATAAAGTTTGTTTGTAAATAATTTTTCTATATTTAAAAATGTAAGAATAGACATCTATACAGCAAATAAGAATTTCAAGAATTCAGAAAAAACTACCTACGATATTTTTTTCCTTTTGGACTGAAAGCTACCTATCATTAATAAGATGCAAAATTATTCTTCAAGAATGCATGAGGAGAGGCCTCTGCACAACTTTGACATGGTAGCCGCCTTAATCCCATTCGACTTTGCTGCATCTAGTAATGGATCTGATTGGAGGGCTTTGTCAAAACAGTACTTGGCCTCTTCCCACAGACCCTCGGCAACAAAAACAAGACCCAGATTGTTGTATGCTGGAGCGTAGCCAGGTTGTAGTTCAAGTGACTTTGTAAACATTGCCTTGGCACGTTGATATTGTTTCTGCTGGCGATAAAGATTCCCCAGGTTGGATATTATAGCATGCGCTTGTTGTGTTGTGGCCAGTGATAAGGCCTGTTTATATACTTCTTCAGCTTTTGAAGGCTCTTCTGACAGTTGAAGTGAAATACCTAATCATGCATTTAAAAGTTCAGAAAACCCGTTAGACAACAACTAGAAATCCGGACTGGAGTTGCCTCACCAATGGTATAAAGCGTAAATTCCAGAAGGAACATTGGGTGTTTTAAGGGAGAAGAGATTAAGCGCACCTAGATTTGACCATGCATAGCTACTATTCTTGTCACGGGTAACAGCAGCTTTGAGGTACCTTTGAGATGTTTTGAACTGCCGAGTACAGAGACCATGAAGGCCAAGTTGGTGCCATTGCACAGCATCATCTGGATCTTCTGCTATAGCCTACCAGAAAAAGAACGATATTTATCGCATAAACATCTAGATGAACTGACATTTCATACGAGCTGTGTAAACACCAGAGCATGCTTGGTAAACTGATATTTATCAAGTGCATGGCAAGTAAAATGAAGCTTTAGCAGAATTTCCATACCCTCATTGCCCCATCTCATCCCCAAGGAAAGTAACTAAATAAAGCAACAAATTACCTGTTTTAAAATGCAAACAGCACGCTCTTCAACTTCCATCAGGTCATGCTGTTCAGTTTCAAAAGCGGCTGCTATTTCATGGTGGGCCTTGTGAACCATGGCAAGCCCAGCCCATGCTATGGGAAGCTCAACCAAGGATGAATCGCCATCTCTGATAATAGACGCCATCTCATTTCCAGCCCATGAAAGCTGTTCCCGATCTAGAGATCTTTCAGCATCCTTTATTCTATGGATGGCAACAGCATATCGAGTAGACATGCAATTGGGCTCCAGTCTTGCTGCCTACAACGCAATGGCAACAGAAGACAAACCACAGCCACACTAATCAGACTTCAGAAAAAGTTTATTATCTAAAAGCAATAAAAACTGTTATTAGAAAAGCAGAGCTTATCCAAAGAGCAAAACATGCATGACCACCAACAAGAAAATTTTAAATTGTTAATTACCATCATTTCAAGTATATGAAAAAGAAAGCACACAAAAGGTTCCGCAAAAGTTCACATCGCAAATCAAAGTTTAAAACCTTTCTATCATGAACAACTGAGCAGGGACCAGGAAATCATTTAACCATATACTATAAATGACTTTGGCAATGAGCCATGAGCACCTTCTCCAAGCACTTGCTGGAACTTCTATGATCACCACAGAGAGCAAATGCATTGGCAAGATTTGTCCAGATATGTCCTGATTTGGGATCTGCTTTAACTGCAGCTAGTAAACATTCCTTTGCAACATTAACAGCTGCAACCTGGTCTAGAGAAGCACCTTCTGGAGCACTTGCACCGGCACCTGAGAGTAGTTAAAAATCATATCATAGAATATTCTTCAAACTGTTGATATCAATGAACGGGTAAAACAAATATTAAACAAAGTTGAGAGTCTCTAGCAGTGTAGATGACCTGCTACAACTGAAGCATATTTACATAAAAGAAGGGCGGCATAGTTGATCAAAGCTGCAGGATGATTTTGATCTTTTAGAATCAACTCTTGGAAACATTTTGCAGATAATTCCAAATTCCCACTGAGACAGTATAATCAATAGCAGTTACATATATGAGATAAAAATGAATGAATATCAAGTAATTTTAACCTGTTTCCAGTTGAAATGAAAGAACTCACTCTTATTCTTCAACTAATTGAGTGCAATTGCAACAAATAAATAAGTGAAAAGGGAAAAAAAAGAAGGTTGAGCCATTGCCCAGAAGATGACAGCTAAAAATAAATATTACAAAAGTGACAATGAAATCACGCATTAAAGCTGTTGATTGAATACTCATAATAGTCAGCCATGTGTCCCTAACTTCCGGTTTAATGTGTTTCATTTGTTCTGAAGACAAAAGTTTTTTTAAATAAATTTTTTTCCCATTTGACCACTCTTTCCCAAATCCCACATGATCTAAGTTAAAGAGCTTGTTTTATAAGAAAATAAATAGATCCTCTTCTGCCACTTTGTTTGCCGCATTGAGCTTCCTTTTTCCTGTTGTGTTGGTCTTAAATTTTTCTTATTTGTCATATAGCCATTACCTTTATTATCTCCTTAATTATTACATGCACACAAATGGAGGTTTCACATTGTATTTCATATTAATTCTTTTTACTCCATCATTAATGTGACAGGAATAACCACGTGGTTTACTCTTTCTCCTCTCACGGTCAACAATTCTTTTCTATTTCTATCTTTTCTTCCTTTAATCACATCCCTTTGCTAATTTGGGGTGAAAATGGGGGGAATTTCATATTTTATTTCAAACTATTTCATTCAACTAAGGTATTTAAGAAATTATTTATTTTTCGATCTCAACACACTTTATTTTCAAATAACTCAGTCCCTGTACAATTTTTCTTTTAGAAGCTCTAGTCCCTGACCATCCAAGTATGCAACGCTGTTAAGCATTTGTTGACACACACACACACACACACTTTATTTTCAAATAACCCAGTCCCTGTACAATTTTTCTTTTAGAAGCTCTAGTCCCTGACCATCCAAGTATGCAACGCTGTTAAGCATTTGTTGACACACATACACACACACTTTATTTTCAAATAACTCAGTCCCTGTACAATTTTTCTTTTAGAAGCTCTAGTCCCTGACCATCCAAGTATGCAACGCTGTTACGCATTTGTTGACATGGAAATGGCAGTCTAGGTGTATTGATGAGCAGAGTGAGTCATCTGCCACGCACTAAAAAAACCTGTGGAAATGCTGGAGAAAATAAAAAATAAAAGAAAGACCAAGATCATTGTGTGTGGGCAGAGTGAAGACCAACATTGAGCAAGAAAAAACGTAGGGTTTTGATTGATCTAATTTCATTGGTGACCAAGGTCGGAATCTCAGTGATTTCAGGTGATTGTGGCTGGGAATCTTATTGTGCAAGTCAGGAATCGTGACGGTGGACTAGGAATTTCAGGTAATGATGGACTGGGAATCACGATGGAAAGCAAGGTGCCAGAAAGTTTGGGAAGGTCGCAGTGCTTTCAAGCAGCGGTGACCAAGCTTGGAATCTTGGTGATTTTAGGAAGATGCCAGCAATTTTGGTTGCTTTTTTTTATTTTATTCTGCAACCCAAAATGCTTAGAAGAACATTGAAAATCATTGCAATATGAGCGAAGAGGAGAAAATGATAGTATACCATGGCCACATTGTTGATAATTAAATTTATCAATATTCATTTGGTTTGTTATTTTAGTGATTAAATTCATAATCAATGCAAGTTGTTCTAGTATTTCACATCTGGGTTATATTTCAACTTTAATTTACCATTATTCTTGCATTTAAGCCTTCCTCTTTGATCCATTCTCCTCCTCCCTCCCTCTCTCCCCTCTTCTGATCAAGTTCATTCATTCTTCTCTGGATCAGCTATTTATATCCGTTCTCCCTCAGTTCTTTTCATTCTGCTTGGTTTTCTTATCTACTCTACAGGCTTTTTTTTTTTTTTCTTTCTTTCTTTCTCTTTTTATCTCATTATTTGGCAGCTCACTCATTATCCAAATGAATCCACCTCATCTCCCATTCACATGTCAGCAACGACAGCATTTGCATATTTGGATGGGTCAGGTGCTATTGCTTCTAACAGAAAAAATTTATATGAACTGAGTTATATGAAAAGAAAGCACAAGGACTGAGTTAAAAATGAATGCAAACAATAAGGACTAAAGCGTCAATTTTCCCTAATATCAATCATGCCAATACTTTGCATCACATAGGATTTGACCAAAGTATTTGTTAAAGACATTAATTCTTGGGGCAAAGTTATTGTGATCAAGATACCTATCCATTTATTTTCATAAAAAAAACCCCTTTTTACTTTTCCTTAAGAAAAATCACCATTAAAATTTACCTTTGAAGATAAGAAATCCCAAGATTTCCCAGGCAATCATAGTTGTCTGGTGCCATAGCCAACAATGATGACAGTACCGTGATCGCACTCTAAAGCAGCAAATGAAATTCACATTGGTAAAGGCAAAGGTTAAAAATACTAACATAACATGAATTGCAGAAACAGGATTAAAATTATCAAAAGGCTTGAAGCATAATGAAAGAACTAAAGAACCTTTTAGATTACAAGAGTTGCTAGAAGACAGTTGTACCTGCAAACGACCAGTTTTAAGAAGTACAAATCCTAGGGCATTCCACACAGCTGCCCGCCTGATATCTGATTGCACAGACTCCTTTAGTTTGGAGAGAATTTCCTCAAGTTCTTGAGGTTCAAGTTCTTTATCTGAACTATTTTCCGTGGCACTTTCTAGTATCAGGCACTATACAGATTATAAAACAAGTCATTGAAATGAAAAGTTATAATCAGTATCACTATCTATCAAATTATGATTATGTTACCTGCGCATGGTGAATTTGAACTAAAGAAAGCAACTCTGGCCGACTAATCTCAGCCTCAGACCGAAGTAAAATCTCTTCAGCCTTCTCATATGCCAGTAGAGCCTGAAAAGTATAAATAGTACTATAAGCAATCAATATACATCAACAAGAAACAGGTGAAATTTTTTTATTAAAAAAAAAGAAAGAAAGAAAATCTACCTTTTGAGGTTGGCCCAACCTTTGGTACATTTGGCCGAGTATGAAATGAGCATGTGCATTTTTGGGCATCTTCCTTGCAACATGAACCAAGCCCTACAAAAATGAACTTTAAATCAGTTTATCAAAGAAGCAATAAAACAGCAATGACTATAGACCATAGTCACAATATTAACGAAGTGAGTTTTGGCCTTTCCCACGTCCCACTCTTTTACACAAACCACTGAGTCAGTGGTTGAAAAACCGGTGATTAAAGACAAACAGTTAAAATTTTGGGTGAGGTAAAATTAACTGCTGTATACATGAAGTTGTTAGACATTATTCTTGTTGCGATATTCTCGTTAGGTAAACCCAGGAAAGGCTATAAATAAGAAAAAGCAATGAATGAACTTTGAGAAATGGTATATGAAAAATGGTAAATCAAAATTTAAAATCATTACAAAAAGAAAGGTAGAAACTATTATGTGATGTCAAAAGCAGCTTTATAGACATCGCCTAGGAAATATTATCTAGGGATCTCTCTCCCTCTGTCTCTGTGTGTATGTGTGTGCACGCACTTCAAAAAGCACCGTTTCAACTGATGGGTAATAATATTTCAATGAATCCAGAATGGCGCAAGAGATAAAATGAGTCTACAGCAGCACAAAAAATACAGCCCATCTTTGCCTTCAAAGATAGTCTACAGCACCATAAAAAAATACAAACTCCATTTTTCTCCTCATGCAAAGGCAAACAATTCTAGTTGCTAACTAAAATTAAATCAGCAACAAGAAAATTTCTCATAACTTTAAGGGAAACTCACAGTCTTCAGACTGCTAACTTTTTCCTCTCGAGAGGAAGTAACCCCTTGAACATGCTGATCACCATCTCCATCAGCTCCACAATCAACAGAAGAATCTGTCTTACTAAATCTGGAGCGGCACTTCCCCAGTTTGTGCAACTTTTTACCTTCACCATCAGCGCTATCAGTGTCTCTGGACAACATGCTCTTCTCTTGACCTTTTTCATGTGTTAACCTGTAAATTCATTCAAAAAGAAAAAATATTAATACTGAAGACAAATGACAAAAAAGGAAACTTTTGATATTAGCCGCAAAAATAAATTTTTCTCTGATAACAAATTCAAAGAAACTTTCTTCCCCTTTCAAGAAAACTTGGGGAAAATCAAATAAAGAGTGGGGGAAATGATTTTTCATATAAAGAAACCTTGCTACCAGCTGAAATTCACTCCACAAAATGTACACAAGTTTCTTTCCCCAAAAGAATACGTGTTTTACTACAATATATTCACCTAGGTTAGGATTTCAGTATCCATAATGCTTGACACCAGAAAGTGGAGATAAAGCAAAACTGGTTCCCAAGTAAAAAACAGAGACCAGATTCGATTGAACAATTTATAATTTCATAAACCTGTAGCGGAAAACAAACACATGCAAAAGCAGCTTAACCATCATGATTTTATGTTTGGCAAATGAAAAATTATATTTGACATACTGTTAAACAAGGAACTCCCTTCAAGACAAGCCATTTTCAATTGAAAATCATGCTTTTATATAAAAACATTGCTGCCAAAAAATATTTTGTCACGAAGCATCCAGATCATCTGCAGGAGAGAGATTGACAGCCTCAAGTTCACCAAGTTGTGGCTATATCTTTGATCCATGGTTGTCCAGCTTCCATGTCACCCCATAAACATAGAAAAGATAGTAGACAATGTGTCTTGAGCCAAGAATTCTCTCCACTGATGGAAGCATGAAAATGCACCATTTTGAGCACTCAATACATGATAAGTTTCCCCAACCTTCCCCCCCCCCCCCGGGGGAGGGTCTTGTTTGCAATCAGCTGGGACAGCTGAGAAGCTTGGAGATAGATCTAATGAGTCTAAATTCCCTTCACCTGCTACATCTCTCTCTCAACAGCAGGCCGTCCATGGGCTCCATTTAAAACACTTGCTTGATGGAAGAAGAGTCACCTTGGCATGAATGTTGTCAGCACATGTTTCCAAATTTGGATCTTGCCTTGGGTTCAGAGGCTGAACTCCATTGATGACTCATTTTCTTGATGAAATTGAGGATGTCAAATATAACTACAGAGGATCCACATGCCATGCTAAATTTATACACTGTAAAATATCAACTAGCTTCCCTTGAAGACAGTTTCTACATCAGCAGAACCATACAAAACTTTTGTGAAAAACCCAAGGCCTTGTGTTGAAAATTAAGATTAACTGATTGGTGACAGAGTTTGACAATACCACTCATAAGTGAGGGGGGCGGGACACGAATGAAACAATGTATTAAGCATGCATTTTTTCAACTCTTCAAATTCATTGTGGCTTTGATGATGTAATCATTCAGTTACATAGGCAAAATCCCCAGACTGAAAGTTCTTCCCAGTCTTAGAAACACATTATCCTAGTAATATTCTCTTTTTATAGTTGACGAAGCCTTTTTTCCGCAACTAATTCTACACAACAATAGACGCTATCCACTTTACGCCGTTATATTCTCTTCCACATACAGTTTAATTAAAAACAATTTTCACAAGTGGACATTTCCAAATGAAATTTTGTAATCAGTCCTAGTAATTAAGCCGCTGGTTCCATAATACACTAATTCCCAAGCAATTTTATTTTTTTAAGAAAAAAGTATAGACTCCAAATAGTCCTCAACAAAATGCAGAAAACAGGAAATTTTAATCTCGTAAAGTCGCTGCCGACCCTAAAACTTCTGAGCTACTGTCACTCCAGCCTGCTAAGATATTTTAGCCTTGTATATATCAAACGGTGATCATACGAACCGTAACATTTTACTTCATCCTTAACCGAACATAAAATAGAATGGCAACAACGTGAAAGATAAAAGAAGGAAGCCCATAATTCACAGCTAAGAAATTTCAGATTGAAGTGAAATGAAGCAAAGGGAAGATTGCAAACATGGTAATTTCTGGCGGAGGCACGTGGGGGGAATCATCCTCGTCTGCTTCGGGAGGATCGACGTTGAGGTCAGCCAAGACGACAAGCTTCGGAGGCTGGAAAACCTTGGAGCTCTCTGCCGCTCCCAACTCCGGTTTTGGAAGCAAAACATGATTCTGAGGTTCCAGTGGTTCGGGCATTTCTTCTCTTTCGCGCGTCGAGCACGTCGTTGCCGACGGAGATTGCACCTCCTCAAACCAGATCCCTCAAGGCAGTCTTGTACAGTTGTACTCTTATTTATATTTGACTTCTTTTCACTTTATGATTATATTATTATATGACAAGATAATCATAAATACCGTGGGTCCCCTTGTTATAATTTGAAATTGATTTTTTTATATAAAAGATGAAATATACTTTCCATCAAGTGCTTACGATACTTCTCATAATTTCGATCAGATCTCTTCACATTTGTTTTTGCGAAGAACATTTCCTCATAATTTTTTTTTGACCGGATTTCCTCATAATTCTTTCCATTTTAATCCCACTTATTTTTTAAAAAAAATTCTGTAAAAGTATCACAAGAAAAGGGGCCAAGAAAGCTGCTTGTGTGTGCAAGTGCATGTTTTTACCGTATTTTTCTCCTTCCTCTGCCTCTGTGTATTAATATCTCATTAAGGTATATAGTGATGGATTTATCTGTTGCTTGTATGCGAATATATATGATAAAATCTCTGACAAATGGTGTTATTCACAAACAATTAACATTACCAATGTACTTATTTTCCAAATTTTCAATAATTTTCACAAAAACATGTATAATTAAAGAAATACTGACGCAATCTATATTTCCAAAGGCAGGATGGCTGCTTAGTCAGATTTAAACAGCACATTGTTTTTAAAAAGGCGGGGAAGAGAGAGATTTAAGCAGCACAATTTTGTAACTTCGTCCAAACAATGTTCTTGGACTGGACGTTGATTGGGCCTGAACTAAAACACATTCTGAGGCAACATATGTTAAATTGGGCCTAGGCCTAAAAAGAGGCTCCACTTAATTGGATTCGCTTGACCATCACGGTTCATAGCGTCCCAAGTTCATTTTATGGGCCTAATATTCGATGAAGCTATTTTCTGGCCCATTATTTTCCCAGAGGCCAGACATTTTTGTTTAAATAATAGAAGAGCCCCAAGGCCAAAATTGAGGACAGCTACCATCGTCGGCTCAACAAGCTATACTCTCTTGCATCCAAAAAAAAAGGAAAGGCTACACTCTCCAAGTTTTTCCCACAAAAGGAATTTATCATTTTATTTTTAAGTTGGTTTCAAGTTTGAAACAATAAGATTATGATCTCATTTTGAATTCCAGTAAACATCATTAAATTAATTATGATCCAAGACTGGTGTGGATGCGACAGTATTTAGAGAATATATTTTAACTTATTCCGTGGTTTAAAATTCCTCATTTAAAAAAGTACTCGCAATACAAATTCAGGAAATTAATATTAAAACTTAAACCATACAAAGGAAGTTGAAATAGATCAGCGAAGGGAACAACGGAGAAGGCGGCCTCTGATTAAGGAATTGAAAGAAATCACCGAAGAAGGTAGTAAATGAAAATAAAGTAAAAGCAGACAGAGAGAAAAGAGGAGGGCACATATAATGAGGGAAGGTTCTTGAGTTGGGAAGCACAAGAGCGGCATGTGGGCAGCTCGAATGACGATAAATTACAGGAAGACTTGCAACAATTGGGTAACATGATTCCATCTACCTGATATATAGAAGCCTTCAAATGTGATTCACACATAGCATCATTGCCCTAATCACATGACTTTAAATCATTATTCTCTCTCACTCTCTATACTCTCTCTTCGAGGTTCCATTTTCCATATATATATATATATATATATATCTTCCCTAAAATCTCAATCAATTAACACCTTTATTCGATTCTTCTTCTTTATGTTGTTTTGTTTGCTTTCTTAAAGGAGCAGACACACTGATTAACCCGCTTGACAAACATCCATCAGTTCCCCTGTTAATTGTTCATTTTGACTACTTAACACGTTACAAGTGAATAATTTCTGCTGAAACACTCCCAAAAGCAGCAACCAAACCTCTCTCATTTCAGTGACATATATTATTCATACTGTCCACAGAATCACCCCAAGCTGCCAGACTCAGTGAAGACCCACAAAATTAAAGACTGAGTTGAGGCCCTGATCAAGCTTTTCAACTCGTGACTCGTGACGGCAAAGGCCGTGTGTGGGACAGTAGTACTGAAAGCGTAGACACTTATCCTTACAAGAGCATGGCATTTTGTAAAAGCATTAGCTCTGGGAATGCATTAATTTGCTGCAGCACTAGTTAGCAAGAGGGACCTGTATGGCCCCTTCCCACCAGTTACATGTGGCTTACAACAGTTAGTTCTGTCCCTTCTGTCCACCTTCGCTCCATAGCCCTTCAAAATCTCATAATTATTTCACAAAATAAATGAGATCCGTTAGTGCTTCATGTTCCAATCAGGTAACGCCCATTCTTCTCACTGGTTCTTTTGTACTCGTCTCCTATATATTCACGCGCATAAATGGTGTTGTACAGTACGTGGGGGCTCGAAAATACAAGTGGAAAATAAATCGCCGATGAGTAGGTGTGTGTGTGTGTGTGTGTATTCAGATATGATATTACTACCATACCCGAAAGAGCATGCAATGTTTGACTCTATTCTATTACTTTACTCGTATATATATTGACTGCAGGTTTACCTTAAAGGGCGTGAAAATTTGAGGAAATGATTGACCCTTACTATCCACTGATTAAGGCAGAGATTTATGAAAAAGGAAACAGAGTATGGGGTTTGATGTGAAACGACAATGAGGGCTGCATGTGCAGAAGAGACAAACGATTGGCTGAGAAAGACTGGGAAGAAAGGAAAAGAGAGATGGAGGGGTTGGTGTGTGTGTGCGTGTTTGATTATATGTGGAGGTTGTCTTGTAATTGTCACGAACCACAACGTAATAATCCGATAAAAAAGCCCTACCCTCTTCTTCTTCTTCTTCTTCAAACTGGAGCCAACTAACATGGCTGTGCCTTTACTCGAACCCTACTTTACCAGCTTAACAAAGACCTTCGCGTTGGTTTTTGTCCCACAAATTTAACTTCTGTATCTAATTTGGTCCTGCTTCGTTTATCTTTAAAATCCTCATTGGGTGGCTCCCAATTCGGCGCGAGCCAAAACGACAGCCCGTATCATGAAGGCCAGAATCAGAATCCACAAACGTCACAGCGTGTCCACATATATAATGAATGGTGCTCTCAAGTCCGCTGATTGGACCAATTAAATAGGAACATGTGTCGGCAATGAGGCACTCTGGTGCCATGGCAGCACGGTGAGTAGGAATGCTGCGCCAGGCAAGAAAAAGAAGGACAGGAAAGTTGGGCCTACAAAAACTGTTGCAAGTTTGATTTTAGAGGTCCAAGCATGTGCCCCGGTCCTGAGGGTTGGGGTCCTATTTCACTTTATTCAATACTACGACTATTAAAAATAAAAAAGCGGCATAATAAATGAGACTTGGAAATAATTATGAATATCCCTTTCGTGCCATTTGTAGCAGTGCGTGGTCGCTGGGATACGGCACATTTTTCACTTCGTCCCCGTAAATCAATCGGCTAAGAAACCATCGTTCTTGGTCGAAAGAACTAGTAAAAATCAAATAATAACAGTTTATCCAGAAAAATAATAGCAATAAGCTATCCTTGGCTTAATCAGCTAAAATTTTAGATAGAATACTGCCATTGTATCTACAAGTCCACATTTAGCCCGCGCTAGTTTCTTATCCAAGAACTAAAAGATCTGTTCGCAATTAGTTTTAATGTTTCTCCTTTACTAAATAATAGAGAGAGTACGAAGTTGATACCTGATAGGGAAAGATTATTAAGTGCGATCCTTTTTCATTTTTTAAGCTTCGGTGGAAATTTCGCTCAAGCAAGTTCAAAAAGTCGACTTTCCTAATTAAGTGAATTAATAAAAAAACACTATTAATTAACCTTAGCTTGAAAAGCATCATGGTGAGACATGGGAGCACGGGTTCTAGGCATAATAATGAAAATGAAAATAATGCATGCATGAAACTTAGTTTTGCATACAAATTTACTGGCTTGCTACGATAAAAATGAAAGATGATAATTAAACCCAGTGGGTTTCGCTTGAGATAGAAGCAAAGCAAGAGAGCGCTGGGGACCCATGAAATCCAGAATATGATTGAGCTAGCAAGCAATATAAGCTAGAGAGGAATTTCCCGTTATGTCTTATTTTCAAGCGTCCTGTCTCACACCACCGATAATATTCTTCCGGTCCTTAATATAAGACACAATTATTAAGTTGGTTTTGATCCTAAATATAAGACATATTTCTCATATTTATTAATTTTCTCTAAATCACCCCTATAGATACTCCCTCAACCATAATCAAGTAGAAGAGGGAGAGGGGGTATTAAGAAAGATGATTATAGTGTTTTGAAAAAAACATGTCATATTTTTTACAATTAACTAACTTACCTAACTTTCCTAATCTAGTCACATTAGTTAAATGAGTCTTATATTAAGAACCAGAGGAATATCATTTTAGATTCCCACAATCGCTCAACTGAAATTAAAAGCGCCTTTTATTGTCCTTTTCTTTTTTAATAATTCCTTTGATGAACTAATCTCCCTATATAATTCAAAGTGCATAACAGCAATCACGTACGTGCATATATAATAATTATAGTACACCCATGATTAATTAACCAATAACAAGACCAAATCATGTTACGTTAAAACCCCACTGACCTGCTGCTTCACCTTCACATAAAAGGCCGTTTGCGTCGGTGCGCGTTTTTCACTTTGTCTTCTATCGCTACTGAATGACTTCCTTTAATTTTTTTCCATCTTAATTTATTCACGCATATAGTATTTGTAACGTGTATTAAATTTATGAAGTTTATTTGTATACTTTAATGCACTGCCTTAATTAACCCATAGCCATTGGTAATGCGACTACATTAAATCTCTCATTCAATATTACAAGTCTAACTCAATATACCAGTTGCTAATTTGGTACCACATCTCTATCCTTTATCCTGAATATAAGATTTAGTTGACTAATTTAGGGATATTAAGAAAATTCGTTATGTTAGTTATTTATAATAAATAAATGTTGTCTTTTTTAAAATACTCTTATTAATTACTTGTGTTTGAATTACCCATTTATAGTAACTCTTTAACATATGCAATTACTAAAGAAATTATTTGAAGGCAAAATAGATAAATATTGAAGACAAAATAGATTAGAGTCTTATATTTAGAATCAAATTGAATATTAAACTAATTGTTATATTAATGACTGGAGGTAGTATATAATTTCATTCTTGATCCCTCCTAATTATTAACTATTTTCTGTGATATACTGGCTACTGAGATCTAAAAGCTTTTTTCCTCTCCAAAGACAGCTCTTGGATGAAAGCAAGTGATGGACCCACGCGGGAACAAATAAGTCAAAATTAAATCTTCTAAAGCTCGCAGTATTTCTATTTTCTCACTCGACCGTTTTAGTCCCTAGAGGATTCACACTCACCAGTGTTCACATTCGACGCAATTAATTAAATTAATTCAACTTTGTCCCAGAAAAAAAAAAGAAATTAAATCCAACAAATTATAAGCGCACATCTCGCATTACGGGATGCCCTCCTTGCTTTGATTGTTCCCTAATACCATGGAGGTCAGGGAAGTAAATTAAAGTAGCTAGGAACTTTGGGGGAATACGTGTCCACCATTTCTATTGTTTAGGGACCATTGATTGTGCCCCCCGCATGCTTATTTTCTATCATTGTATATTTTCCACTCGCCTTCCACATTAACTCGGTTGGTCATGCCTAATTAACTGCCCTCTCTAAGACTGATTATATGACCCACCTGTAGCAGAGTACTCTCCTCTGTATTCTTTTATTACGCACACTTAACTTAAGGTTGTTATTATTATTATATATAATATATAATTAACTTTACTTCGATGCCATGGTTGAGAAGGAAATATAATACTAGCAATCACGTTAGACTTTTCTCCGTATAGTATCATTTTCCTTCTTTAGTGCATTGTATGCATTTGAAAATTTTGATCTCCCACCATTTTTCAGAGCCTGCTTAACGGCCAAAACTACCGAATTTGGTATCCCGTAAAACCAGTAATCACGAAGCAGGGTGGGTCCCATGTGTTCGAGTTTGATCGCGCCATTTAACCCGGCTTTGCTTTGGTTCCTTTATGGATATATCGATATATATAGACACACACCCTCTCTTTCTTACACACACGTTACTCGTCTTCTCATTCGCTCTCCAAGGCCTGAGCAAAGAAGAGCAAGAGCCAATAACATGGCAACTTCTTCCCCCTCTTTGCTCTTCTTTCTCTCCTTTCTTCTCTCCGCAACCCTCATCTCCTCCAGACACCTCCAAGACCCAGAATTGGTAGTACAAGAAGTGAACAGGTAATTAACTAGAAACATGTTCATTGTACCACATTTCTCGGCATTTGAGACTGCAGGTTCGTACATATAAGAGAATGTGTTGTATTTTTGTGCAGAAAGATCAATGCTTCTGTGGCTAGGAGGAACTTGGGGTACCTGTCCTGTGGTACAGGCAACCCCATTGACGATTGCTGGAGGTGTGACCCCGACTGGGAGAAGAACAGGCAGAAGCTAGCCGATTGTGCAATTGGGTTCGGGAAGAATGCTGTCGGAGGCAAGGACGGTCAGATTTACGTGGTGACGGATTCCGGCGACGACGACCCTGTGAACCCGAAGCCGGGGACGCTCCGGTACGGCGTGATCCAAGACGAGCCGCTGTGGATCACATTTGCCAGAGACATGGTGATCCAGCTGAAAGAAGAGCTGATAATGAACTCGTTCAAGACCATCGACGGTAGAGGCGCGAGCGTTCACATTGCGGGTGGTCCATGCATTACGATCCAGTACGTGACCAACATTATAATCCACGGCATTCACATCCATGACTGTAAGCAAGGCGGGAACGCTATGGTGAGGAGCTCCCCACGGCACTACGGGTTTAGAACGGTATCGGACGGTGACGGCGTGTCCATCTTCGGAGGGAGCCACATATGGGTGGACCACTGCTCCTTGTCGAACTGCAACGACGGTCTGATCGATGCGATTTATGGGTCCACCGCAATCACCATCTCCAACAATTATATGACTCACCATGACAAGGTCATGTTATTGGGTCACAGTGACTCCTATACAGAAGACAAGAACATGCAAGTCACCATAGCCTTTAATCACTTTGGAGAAGGGCTAGTTCAAAGAATGCCAAGGTAAAATAAGTCAACAGCCAAAAAGCAAAAAAGAGTTGTCAAATGTATAATCTTAATTTATTAGGTATTAATTACAATTTGGACCGGGCATTAAAAATTCTGCGAAATTTGAGTTTTGCAGATGCAGGCATGGATATTTCCATGTTGTGAACAATGACTACACCCATTGGGAAATGTACGCCATTGGTGGAAGTGCCAACCCTACCATCAACAGCCAAGGCAACAGATTTGCAGCACCCGATGACAGATTCAGCAAAGAGGTTTGTATGCTGTTTTTTTTTTTTTTTTAAATTATGTGCCTTCGGCTACTTTTTTTTTTTAATTTTTAGAAAATGAGATAATTAATTAATTAGTGAGGTGGTGAAATACGCAGGTGACGAAGCATGAGGATGCGGCGGAGAGCGACTGGAAGAACTGGAACTGGAGGTCGGAAGGGGACTTGATGGTAAACGGTGCGTTCTTCACGGCGTCAGGGGCGGGAGCGTCATCAAGCTATGCGAGGGCTTCGAGTCTGAGTGCGAGACCATCTTCACTTGTCGGCGCGATCACCGGAGGTGCCGGTACGCTTAGCTGTCGGAAAGGTTCTCCTTGCTGATGATGATGATCTTGACTGCTCCAGTAACAGCCGGTCTATTGATTCCAAAAAGGAAAAAGTAGAAGAAGATTTTACTATTTGAGAAAAGGAGAAGGGAAGTGAGATAAGAAAAGCAAAAAAGAAGGGAAGAAAGAAAATATCTGGTCTAACCCTCGAGTTTCGTTCCCTCGTTCCTTCCTTTCATTCTTTTCTTTCTGTTTTTGTTTTCTCTAGATTGTTGTTTTTTTTTTTATTGTTAGTCTTTCTAATTTGCTCCGAGCACCATGAAATACAACCTCGGCCTGTGACTCTCTTGGATCCAAAAAGCTGGTGCAAGGGTCTGTAAAAGAGAGAACAAGTGCAGAAGAGTTGATATATATATTTATGATATACCAAAATTAGTTGCCATTTCGTTTCTTGACACTGATTTCTCTCCCTCCCTCCCTCTGTGCGCGACCGACACATTGCCACAGGTTGTTAACAAACACCATAAATGAAAAGAGCTAGGTAAGTACAATCATGCAAAAAAGCAAAATATCAAAAGGTGAGATAATGTTTTTAAATTAAATCTTGACCTTACGAGTTGGCCGAGTTAATGTGTTGGAGCAATCGAACGCATCCAACTACCGAAATAACTGTTAACAAATGGGGCAAAAGATCGTACAACATAGTAGCTGTCCCACAAACATAATTTCTTACTATTTCATTTGGAAAGGAGGTTCAATACAGACAAGATGCATTTGAAATCGCTTGCCACTTAATTTCCTCCCTCAGAGTGCCGGTCGAACTCGTGGTTTTAAGAGGTGAAAGTAAAACATTTTCACCATCAAGCCATGAGTTGGGTTGGCAAATACTGGTAAAATAACGCAAAAAGAAGAAAATAAGATGTAATGTCATTTCACATTATTTTAATTTTTTTATTTTTAAAATGAAATAAGGGTATTTTTAAGTCAAATTAGACTTGAAATTAATCTCTTTCGGGTCTGGAGGGTTAAGAAACAACCTTTTCAATAAATACGTTTCTTAAAATTTGAACTTATATTCTTCTCTTTACAAGGATGAGGCCACTAACACCTCAACCAACAATTTGTCCAACAACTTGTTGGTAAAATTTTTGCTACTTTCATTTAATGTATTATATCTAATGGGGTTATTATTATTGTTGTTGTTGTTGTTGTTATTATTATTATTATTATTATTATTATTATAATAAACAGATAATAATTATAACTTGAAATTCAGAATAAAACACATGTAGAGATAATGAAAATTGAAATCAGGACAAGCAGATAAGGACGGACGAAGTCCATTAGACTGGGTATATTTTCCCTAAACTAAAAACTAACGATACTGCTTCCGTTTGTCTTAATAAAGAACAAATGTCTACTTTCCCAATATCAAAAGAAGCAGATTAATTTAGTTAAAAGTATTAAAAGTGTAGGGAGACACGGATTTTGTTTTTCTTATAATACCCTTAAGGGAACCTGTCTCCTCTAATACTAGTAACTCTTGCATGGAAAGAGAGAATACCTCTCATCCCTTAAACGATATATATACTTAAGATAAAAGGAAACTGTTTGTTATAATAAAGAACAAAATCGAACTTTGGTTTTTTTTTTTTTTTTTGAAGTAAGAAAAGCAAGGGAGAGAGTATTACTAGTAAGGGTAAAGAAAGGAGGAGGAGGAAGGCATTGAAGTTTGAACGCATTTATAGTTATTTGAGAAATTAAAGGGGAGGGGTGGCTAACACTGACTAAAGACGAAGAAAGAGCGAGACGTAACATGCGGGACTTGGAAAAGTGGAGATCTCAGAATGGGGTTGAAGAAAATGGGGCAACATACTGGCCGGAGAGGAAGAGGGGAAAAAGTGGGTGAACAGAACATTGAGCCACGAGCAATTAAGAAGTGGAAAAGAAAGAATAAAAGCACATGGAGGGTGGTGGCCCAGCCGTTTGTTAGTTTGAACCTGCAGTGGATATTCTTTTGATGTGATGTGATCGACTGATCCCAAACCACACTTTCAATTTGGAGCAACAACGCATTCGATGATGATCGGGGCGGGTCTCAAGCTAAGCGTTTCGGTTTCTGGAAGCGAAGGACGATATGGAGAACCCCATAGGGACATTATGAGAGCCAGAAGGGGCACATGATGTGTTCCTTCTTGCTTCATTATGTCAATGCCACGTGGAAGAGAACGAATTCAGGAATGAGGATCCAAAAGTAAGAGAAGGAAGGAAGGAAGGTTGGGATATGGGAGGGGAACAAGGTCCCGCGTAGCCCCTGGCGACGCACATGCAGATGGGGGGTCCCGCCATGAGCAGTAGTTTTGAATTTGAGTCCCCATCGTTATTTCACGCCGCAATCACAGGAACTCCGAAACTCATTTCCCCACCCCCACACCCACACCAAACCAAAAGACGTTGCCTCTGCTTCATCTGCCTTTTGTCTAATGTCCACTTACGTTGCTTTGGGGGCCAAAAACCAAGTAGCGAAACTCTATGTAAGCCCCAGTTCACACACCATGCTGACAATTCGAACGGGGATAGAAGCGCGGAAAGTCTGAGTTTGAGGTTCAATTCTCCTTATTCCTGCTAATCTAGCGTTTGTTAGGAGTTGCATACTACATCTGTTCGAACTAACTTTTATATTTATGATTGAAGGTATTACAAGTACTTTTAAATACTTTCATATATATCGAGGCAAAATTTTTTTAACATATTTATCTTATATTTTGTAAATTATTAACTTGGTAGCAGGAATTAATGAATTAACAAACTCAGGGGATGCCAATTGCCAAGTGAATCTATTGGGCTGTTGGGCCTCTGGTGAGGTCTTGCTTCATTGCCCCTTATGTTAATGTCCGGTTGTGCTTTCGCCTTTCAGGCTCAGTGGCCCAAACAAAAGGTTAGTTCTGGATTTGTTTGGTGGGCTGTAACAATAACATCCGTCGTTTTACAAGTATGCTTATAAGGGATCGTGCTCACGCGCTCCACAACCCGTGGCCATGGCAGCGCTGTGTCACTCCTCAAGATCACACTTGGAGAGGCTGTGTTCTGAGGAAGCGGAAGATAAGGTGAAGCTACAGCCTGGTCTGGATGTACACGAACTAAAGGGAATATCAAGCCGGTCAAAGTAATGGTTCAATTGAGTTTGAATTGGGATCATAATTAAAATACACAAAAATAGGCATATTGGATTATGATGCCAAGCATTGATGTGCAAATTCATAGTTGATTTGATCGGCTGGGTTGATGCGGGGTTTAATATCGCGAAATCAGGCAAATGGAGAATTTTTTGAGAGGAGCGGACGCGGAGTGAGCTTGGGTCCGAGTTTTGTGCTGGAAACAAAAAAAAGAAAAGGGGGCCCAATTATCAGGCAATGGAAGCCCATCTCCGAATAAAAGCAAAAGGCACAAAAGAACAAAAGGGAAACACCAATGAATAACGCAGCCTCCCAAGTCGCAGAGGAATGAGTGAGCATGAGGAGCAGGTAAACTTTTAACAAGGCCCCTGTCTCCCCCACAATGACCCACCCACCATTGCGCCCCTCCCATCCCCCTGTCCCCGCCCTCATCATCATTCCCCATCTTTCCTGCCCGCCCCTATTCACTGGCGTGCATCACTCGCACCAGTCACTCATCACTCATTCCCCTCCCAAAAAAAAAAAAATCTAATAAGAAAGTAATTGGAAATATTAAAAGTTCTCTAAAAAAATATATTTTTCATAAACCGAGATAAATTTTTTTATATATTTATTTTATGTATCATAAAATTATTTTCAAAACTATAATTTGATTTTTGGCCAAATACCCTTTAAAAGTTAAAAAAGTAAAACATATAATAAATTTTTATCCCACATGTATGCAAAAATAAAATAATAATAACTAGCACATGATTTCGAACTTGTTTTACAAAAACTCATTCCAACACCCATCATAGAATTCGATCCGTAGGTTGTATAACTAACGTTGGACTTGGAGGAGGTGGATAATGCTTTTGTTTCTCTTGTTGAAAAAATAACGAGCCAATAAGATTGAGAGAAATAATATCATTAACACGAATTTTTTTGTTGACGGAAAAATAAATTTGATCTGAAATTAATTCTTTTATTCGCGAGGCGAAATACCTGTTGTGAAGGTTGTGGGGAGGGGGAAGAACGGGGCGGGGAGAAATGATTGGGAGGGATAAGATCGAAGGACAGCTCAGAAGGTGCTACGTGGCGATTACGTGGCCTCTTTCTGACGTGGAATGGATGAGAACGGTGCATGATGCCCCCTCAGTCACGTACACCCAAGTTTGAGCGGTTCTTCGCTTCCCCAAAGGCCGTTTTAAAGATTTTAACAAATTGGACTCCGTATTCCTCGCCTCTCACAACTTAGAATTCACAAGTTACATGAAACGTTTTCTGCAACTGATAATCTTTAATGGTTTAAAAATCTCCAAATCACAGCAATGACGTGTGGCCTACCAAACCCCCCTTTTTTTCCCGGACCCAAATTAAAGAACAATGCACGGTATGCACTGGTCGGTCCTTCATCTTTTCCGCGTCATATTTCCTCCTAAATTAATTAACCCTGTCCCTGCCATTTCCAATTCTCTATATTAATAAGCACGTTTGGATTGCACTTTTATAAAAAAAAATTAGTTATGAATTTAGTCATAAATATAATATTTTGATTTATTTTTTCTTATATTTATTTATTTTATCACCAACTAATTTTTATATGGTAATCACACATGTTAATAAGTTTTTATTAAATGGTAGTTTGTGTTTTAAGAATAACAATACCTATTTATTATAAATAATAGTACTACTCATTAATTATAAATAACAAACTTAATTAATTTTATTAATATTTTTATAGTAGTTATTTAGTTCTCATGTTAAAACCCGAGATAGCATAATTAAATTGAGTTTCAACAACCGTCCTGTACCGGGTTGGAGGCTGCTTTTAATGCTTGGTGTTATGGCATATTTTCACGTTCTCTGTTTCCGTATTACCTGGGGATAGTTTATTACGGCCTCGGTTGAAGACTTTATTATACCAGCTTTGTTGTGTTTTATCATCGGTAAGGCCAAATATTTGTTTTGTTAATAAAGAAATTTTAAAAAATAAGTGATGGATAATTAGTTTGAGATCAGTGATGCAGTACTTGGTGAATTACTATATTTTTTATTTTTTATTTTGTAATTTATTTATTAAACAGATCAAATTAAATCTTAATTAATCATGTACAGAACTCATGTTTTTAGTAATTATAATTTTACATAATTTTCATTATATTTAAATAATTTTTAATTTACCAAACTGATTTTTAAAGAATACATTTAATCACAAATCTTTGGATAATACTACTTTCTGTCCTAATTAAAAGATCTAGACTATAAATAAAGCCTTATAATAATAGGAAGTATTAACCAATCTTTTAATAATAAATGATTTTTTTCTTTTTTTGTGCCAACAATAGATGATTTTTTTCATGAGACAAGAAACGAAGCACACATATATCATTCCTCGCCCACGCGCCTCTCCCTCCGCTGTAGTCTCCCAGCAATTAGCTATGGTCAAATTCGTCACGCTTGACACTTTCCAAAACAGAATCATTACACTACCTACATTCCACGAAACTGTACACCACAAATAAGAGCTAATAAAGAGACCAGCGATTCCATAAAAAGACATCACGATCCCTTGCGGAAAAAAAAGAATTTGCTGAGACAGAAATAAAGATAGCAAATTTCTAACGCTTCACACTGCTTCCCTTGGCACCCCCACAACTCTGTTCATTCTCCCTGCAATTTATGAGCTTGCGTTGAATTGTTTAATCCATACTTGTTTTCTACAAATTCAAAATGTTTGGTGTTTACGTCTGTTCACTGATCCCGTCAGACCATTACATTATATACAGCATTTTTTAAATTTATCCGTACATTTGACCCCAATACACACGCCCGAATTTACCTCACTGGATACTGATAATGTTACAAAAAGTTAACCACTCAATACAATATATAAAAATTTATATATATAGATATAAATGTAATATTTTAAAATTGTACATAATAGAAGCACATAACTTGATCCAGCTCATTTTTAATTTTTCATTTTACCTTTTGAATTTTGTATGTTGATAATATATGAATGTTAAAACATATCCTATTTAGCTTTTTGTGGAATTAATTTTAAATATATGTAAAAAAAGCAGAGTCATTATTTTAAAGAAAATAATAGTATAAGACTAATCCCCGCGTCCAATCTTATCATCTTTAGACTTAAACAAAAAAAGGTGCGTGCTTAATAAAAAAAATGACGTATGTGCTTAGCGCGTGTCGGCACGCACGCACAGAGTCACAATGACTCTTGTTCCGCTGAACCTGAACATTCCGCGTCATCCATAATCCACCGCACCTACGGCTGGACGTCATATAAATCCCTGATCCTGCTGTGGCGACCAGATGCCTAAAGCCTCCATTCCAGCGTTTACGCCTCGTAAGTCGTAACATAACCCCCCCCCCTCCCCTCACGCTCTCTTCCTAGCACATCCAAAAATGGCCGTCAAAACCATCCCGCCGACCGATGCTCTCTGTATTACTCCCACCGCCGGCATCGACTACCTGAGCAGCCGGGTCTTGCCTGAACCTGATGTTTTTATTCACACATCCAGTGGCGCGCGCATTCCCGCGCACACTAGCATTCTGGTACTCCTCTCTCTTTCTCTTCAAATTAATTGAAGCTAGTCTTAATCAAAATTCTTTAATATATTACGGTTTTGAATCTAATCAGCTAACTGGTTTTCGCTGATCTTCTGTTTTTCGGTTCTGCTGCTGCAAAGGCGTCAGTGTCGCCGGTTTTGGAGAATATCATAGATCAGCCACGCAAGCATCGGAGCTGTGAGAGAATCATTCAAATACTCGGTGTTCCTTGCGATGCCGTCATCGCTTTTCTCGGCTTCCTTTATTGTTCCAGGTTGGTGATAGCTACAACGGTGATTGTCATCTGTTCACTCGTTCTCCTCGATTTCCGCCACAAAATAATGAACGGTGTTACGAAATGACTGAGATATCCCTGAATGACCGATGCAGGTGCGCGGATGAGCAGATGGAGAAGTATGGGATTCATCTGCTCGCATTGTCGCACGTGTATTTGGTGCCACAACTGAAGCAGAGATGCATCAAGGTGCTTGCCGAACGGTTAACGATCGAGAATGTGGTGGATTTGCTCCAACTCGCTAGGCTCTGCGACGCGCCCGATCTTTACATCAAGTGTATGAAGCTACTCACCAGTCACTTCAAATCTGTGGAAGCGACAGAGGGCTGGAAATTCTTGCAGAAGCATGACCCATGGCTTGAGCTCGACATCCTCCGGTTCATGGATGAGGACGAATCGGTAAATTCCAAATTCCTTTTTGTTTCATCTGTATGAATTAATGGAGAATTTCCAAGATTAATATGAGCGATGCAACGGGAATGAAACAGAGGAAGAAGAAATCGAAGAAGCAGAGGGAGGAGCTGAGGTTGTACGCAGAGCTGAGCGAGGCGATGGAGTGTCTAGAACACATATGCACCGAAGGGTGCACCGACGTTGGGCCTTACGGCGTGGAGCTCCAGAAAGACAGGAGGCCGTGCAGCAAATTCGCCACGTGTCACGGGCTTCAGCTCTTAATCAAGCACTTTGCTACGTGTAATAAGAAGATGAACGGAGGGTGCTTACGCTGCAAGCGAATGTGGCAGCTCTTCCGACTTCATTCCTGCATTTGCCAGCAAACCCATTCTTGCAAGGTTCCTCTTTGCAGGTATTTTTTTAATTCAACGGGTCCCCAAACAAACTTCCTCTCTCTCTCTCTCTCTCTGTGCTTTTTTTTTTGTTTTTAATTATTCCGTTCAAAAAAACATGGTGGAAGGGAAAATGAAAGCACGTTAAAAAATAAATAAATATTTTGGCACAAGGTTCTCTTATTAGAATTGTTTTCCTTTTCTTTTTTTGACCAGAAGAATTGTTTTTCTTTTCTACCCCTTCTTTGAAGGCTGAAAGATATATTACTTTCCTTTTTCTCTTGTTTGGTCGGAATATAGGCTTATGACTCTTGTCATGAGATAGCGGCCCCTAAATTAGTGAATAGAATATCATATCTAACATGAGACCGGTCGAGGTACAGCCGATCCTTAGGAGTTGAGATTGAAATGAGTCAAAGACACAGGATTCATATTTTATTTCTTTGTTCAGGGTTTTGTTTTCTTGATTAGTTGATTTCCTGAGTTGTTTTTCTTCGCTCAAGAAAGTCATGGATTCGGTTTGATTTTTTTCCCCATTAAACAATAGGATGATAGAAGGCTAGTTAGCTGGAGGAACACAACTGGGAATTAAATTCCCTTTTTAATTAGGCATACTAAGTTATTGTATCCGACTAATACGGTCTTCAAAATCGTTTTCGTGTGATGAACAGACAAATCAGGTTCCACTGGTTGTAACCTCAACCCTACAATATAATTGACTGGATCGCGTTAAAATCAAGTGTTACGTTAATTTGTTACTATTTGGCTGTTATAATTTCCTCCTACTACTGCTACTACTGGCTAATTTGTTGCCTTCCTGATGTTGTTCTGATCAGAAGCAGAAGTTAGCCTGTCATAGTCTCCATAAGCTTAACCTGTCTGGTGGTCTTAACTGTAATTGTCATCTTCATCACAGCCAGATATAGCTGGACTCGATTATATGTGCTTTGTCTTCCCAGTTCGTTTCGCAACGCCAATAAAAATCACACAAATTAATAGGACCCTCCACTGTGGGCAGCTCGGGTGACAAAATTCCACCAGTGGAGGGTCGTGTCATCATAAATTAAAATAAGGGTGAATATCTGTGAATCATCCAAAACAAGTGGCAAAGTTAGGCCATGTTTTTATCTATTGCCTGCACAAGTGGGATATTTAACGAACACAATTGTTTTGCATGTCACCGTGTTGTTAGATTAATTTAAAGATTTGCTCGCTAGTTGGAAAATTAATTTAATATCCTTGTCCTTATGTCAAGGGAGAAAGTTAAAATGTTGTGTCATGGTCGGTTTTTTTAATAAGGACAGCATAAATATATAATTTTCGTAATTTACTCTGTACTTAAAATTTTTTATGTGTAATTTTTTATTAGAAATTGAGCAAACATTAAATGGACATATATTTAGTCTTAAATATCGCATACGAAAATATCTCTGTTTTTATGAACCTTTGGTCCATTCTCGTGATTTCCTTCTTTCTTTCTTTTTCTTTTTTGGCAACATGTCTTGTGATTTTTTTTTTTACATCATATGAGTTGTGAATGATATATGTCTACTTGGTAACATAAGTTAAGCTAACGTCTTCGTGTGGGAAATTTGACAGGGAAATGCAAATGAAAATGCAGCAAGAGAAAAGGAAAGACGATCCAAGGTGGAAACTACTGGCCAGAAAAGTGGCCTCTGCTAGAGTCATGTCTACACTCTCTTTGCCGAAGAGGAAGAGAGATGATGAAATTAGAATAAACATGAACAATTATGCGATTAAAAGTTTCAAATTAAAATGAGAATAATTGTGTAAAATATAGGGCCGTTTATAGCGTCAATGCCCTTCACTTGTTCTTTCATCTCCTATGAGTTTATGCTGTCTGGTTTGTTTTTCTGTAGAAGCAGCAGGTTTTTTAATAGAGTGGCTCCTGTTGTGCGTTCCTTTTTACCTTTTGCTTTCTAGTAGAAAACCATCAATCAGTTAATCCATGGGCCACCAGAAGAAGAGGCAGTATGAGTAAATTATTGTAATTAATGTACTTTGTCTGTTCTCTCCCGGTCGATGTAATATAAGCAAGGCAGCCATGCGACACACTTCAGGCTATCGCTAAACGAGAAAAATTCTCCCCCCCCCCCTTCTCTTCCATTCATTTCCTTTTTAAAAAAAATCAGAATAATCATTTTTATATTTTACGAAACAGTACTCTTCTCAAAATCGAATACTCAGTTATTCAAAGATCATCGCTGTGACGGGTCTATGTTCAAGACGGAGAGCAGATGATCAAGTGTTTGAATGTGTATGGGTCAACTGTCTGGAAATAAAGGCAGGTTTTATTGGGCAGCATAATTATACATTGTGACACTCTACGGGGCTTGTGTCTTCTTTTCTAGAGAGGCCTACCAACAATTCGGTGCAGGAATTGCAATGATGAACTTCATTGGAGTTTGATTTTATACTTTATATAGTTCATACACACGCACGCATGCACACGCATGTTTGTGTATATATAAACACACACAGGGTTCACATACCAAATTAATTAATTAAGGTGTTGCAAAAGGAATTCAGATGGGTGATTTGTTTTGTGCGATTTTGAGAGATCATGTCCAATGGACAGCCATCATTTGAGTGCAACGGAGGTCCAATGTTCGCCAGTACTAGGGAGCATTAGCATCGGATTCCATCAATGAACTAAAGCCAGTTTAGCTAATTATGAGTGTTTCATTCGTGAGCATCAATTAGGGCCACAGCATGCCCTAATATTATACCATATATATGTGTGTGTGTATAGATTATACTTTATATATTTGAAATGTTTTCCTTTTGCTTGATACTTTCAGCTATCAAATACTACTTTGAGTCTTTAATATGAGAACTAGTTTAACTTTTAATTTGGTCTTAAATATAAGAATCTAACCTATTTTGTTTTTAGTATTTATCTATCTTTTCTCAAGCAATCTTTGTAATAGTTACATATGTTAATTCGAATACACATTATTAATAAAGACATTTTAAGAAAAACATCTCTTCACTATATATAATTAACTTAACTAACCTTTTTAATTTTTTAAAATAATTAATTAGATTTTATATTAAAAACTAATGGTGATATTTTAAATTTATATTGATTGATGGAGTCGAGCATCCAGTTGGCTGCCATTGTCTGATCAGGTACGTTCCTCCTTAAATTTGTTTCTGCTCTCCGCCACTAGTCAAAATGTCAAATTGGCCCACTTGCATTAATAATGGAAATCGGAATGTGAAAAAAAATATCTGGGTTAAATCGAACGATTTCACACAAAAATATCTGTGGTCTTTTTTTGCCAACCACAAAAATGTCCGTAGCTCGTGACACTGGCTTCTCTTTCTTGATTATGATATGACCTATTGATTTGTCTTTCTTATGGGAGATGATGTACGTGATGATTATTTTTATGGCTTAATCTTCTCCTTAATTCTAATTGGCAGCTCGTTGGGATGAGGGAGGAAAGAAATACATCGCAGATGTCACTTTAAAAAAAAATATCTTGATGAGCTTTCTGCGTCAGAAGAGAGGAACTGTATTAGGAGATTAAACATGATTTGCCCCAGTGAATTACCACCGCTCATTTTTATGGCACAACTTTTATAAAATCACAAACAGTTCGTGCTTGCCGCTGTTGATATTCTTGGATGTACATATTAACAAAAAATGGGGAGGGGAGAGGGGGAGAGACAGAGGAGAAATTTCAATAATTTTGATTTTAAAAATTGTAAAAATATGATTATAAAATTTTAATTAAAAATGAAAAATAAAATAGTGAAAAAATTAATTAAAATATTTTAGGGAAAATGTCAAAAAAGGCCCTTGGAATATAGGAAATTCCAAATTGGGTTATAGAATTTCGAAAATGATAGAAGTGAAATCAAGAAGAATTGACAACTTTGCCCTCATCTGTATTTACTTACTACAATGATTTAAGGAATCACTATAAAGGTTTAAACATTACCTAGATTTGTGTAGCGAATAACTACTCACTTTTTCATAGTCAGATGTCTTGTTATTAACTACAACTAATTTTGTAATCACTAAAACATTGTAAGCATTACTTAGATTCGTGTAGAGAATAACTACTCACTTTTTCATAGTCAGGTACTTTATTATTAACTACAACTAATCTTGTAATCACTAGAACAGTGTAAGCGTTACCTAGATTTATTTAGAGAATAACTACTTACTTTTGCTTAGCTAGGGGCAAAATTGTCAATTCGTCTTAATTTTACAAATGATAGATTGAGTCACTTATCCTTTCTGTTATTTTCGAAATTCTAGGATCAAATCTGAAATTTCTTATATTTCAAGAATTTTTTTTTGGAATTTTCCCAAGATTTTAACTCTAATTTTTTATTTATTTAAATCAAAGCGTTTTTGGTCCGTTCCCTTTCCTTGGTACCAAAACAGAAAAAGGGACCCGAAGGAGTGGGACCCCCCCCTTAGGGTTTGAGGCCTAAAAAAATCTGCAAGATTTCTTCAAATGATATTTAATGCCATGAAATGACAGGGGAAAAAAATAAACAAGGAAAAGGAAAAGAAAATAACAAGAGGATGTTGTTGCGCGCGTGAGTATGAAGCCTTCCATTTGATTCCCTCCAAGACGGCATCAGATTCTTCTTCTTCTCCTTCGCAGTCTTCGACTCCTATTAAAACAACTAAACAAGATGATATGAAGTGTGTGTACTCCTCCGGTCCTAAATGTAAGACCCTTATACACACTAGTATAAGGGTCTTACATTTAGGACCGGAGGAGTATTTCATTTATCTTACTGTGAAAGTTATGTTGGCAGAAACAAAACAAAATTTGGACAGAAAATTCAGCACATATATATTAGATAAATTTTTGTAAAACGTAATAATAAGTTAATATAATCTTATAGTTTAATGTCATTCAGGAAGTCAAAAATCATTTTTGTAAATTAATAATTATGATTTGTTTTTAATATTTTGTATTCTAGAGCTATTTTCCCCTATCATGTCAAACGTTAACTTGGATATCATATTACTCAGCAAGAGATTATGAAAATCTTATAAGGTGGACAGTTTTTTTTTTTTCATTTTTCTTATTATAAAAATTAAACTCAGTGTAATTTAAAAATTTTTAGTACTTATGAATTTGTAAACTAACATCTAACAGCTAACGAATTTTATTTTTTTATTTGTGATCAACTATTAATTTTATTAGTAGTAAATTGTTAGCCACGCTAAAAGATACTTCATATTCTTTGTTAAGATAATAAATTCATCATTACTTAATTATTGTCTTTACGCGTTACTAAGTATTATAACTTCTTATCATTCAATCATTATGAATAAATTTTGATGAATCATAACCACGCAATCATTGTTGCATCCAGCCCGCGGTGGGCGGCATAGGTTTTAGAACTTTCCACTGAAGTCTGCGACTTAAAACCGCCACTGTTTTTTTCCCCAATGCCAAATAGTGATCTTAAAAAAAAAAAAAATCTTTTTTTCCCTACTGCTGGATAGGAACTCTTATGGTCCAATATAAGCAGGCTTATTGGACTGGACCTTAAGGTGAGCCCATGTTAGATTGCTACTTTTCTTTTTCTTTTTTTTTGGGTTGTAACTGATATTCATATTAACAATTTAATAGGAAAGGTTTAATTATTTATGATGAAAGGGGGCCGCTTCTTCTTCAACTCGCTGTCACGTCACGTTATATAGATTTCGACTCAAAACTCTCTGCCAGAAGGGTTTTGTATCAGTAAATTTAGTTGAAGTCTTCTTTTATGTACCTCTGGGTGTAGGGGTGTTCATCAAGCCCCCTACCCCAATGTACGTGCCCGAGCCTGTGAAAAAATGGCCCTGCTCAGCCCGAGAAAAAACAGCAAAAAAAAAAAAGAGCATTTTTGGGCTGGGCATATTATGGGCAGGGCTGAACTGCGGGCACGGTATGTTGCCCTGCCTGTGATATATATATTTATAATTCTTTTTTTAGTCAAAAATACTTATAATGATATATAATATATGTAATAATATATATTATTCTCCCCTCTTCTATTTGCCCTAGATACATTTAGTGATATGTGTAATTCTTCCTTTTTAGTATCTTTTTAATGTTTTTCTAATCTGGTTTAGTATCTTTGAGTTTGTTTTCATTGTTGGTTGTCTTGTAAAGATGCAAAAACAAACTCACTTTAGTGTTGTATTAAAAGATATATCAATTTAAGACAAATCAAAGTTATTGATTTGTTGAATTTATTGTTTATTCAAGTATTTATTTCTTTATAATTATTATAAGATACCCTTACTTCAACTAAAATATTTTTCACCAAGATATTACTATTTAGGGTTAGAAGCCTGCCCTGCCCAGCCCATTATTACCCAGCTCAAAAATGGTTAAGGCTTTTATGGGTAGGGCAGGGCAGGGCAGCGGGCTGCAAAATGCAGCCGCTTATCTTTCGGGCCAGCATCGGGCAAAGGGCATACCCTACCTAGCCCTGCCCATGAACACCCTATCTAGGTGTTAGCTCAGCGGTTCTTTCTGCTCCTGTACTGCTGTACTGCACGATAATGGTGAAATGCCCCGCTATAACAAAATGACCCCAAAGCAATCCCGGATCAATTCCAATTGTGCAGTAAAATTTTCAGACCGTACAAACTGCCCTTATCTTATGGTAAAAGTCCACAGTTAACTGTTCAAAATCCTTGCATAGATCCTCTCTAAATTCTTTCTCCCAGCCATAACTCAAACTAGGAGTTGCTCAGAGTAACAAGAAGAACCATGTGCACCAAGTTTTTCCTTTTAAATTGCTCACCTTAACAGCACCTTAATCTGTTTTCTTCAAAAATTCTGTGTGTATTTGCAGACCTTACACAGCTGTTGCCTCAGATATTTCTGTTTTGCCAGCCTAGTACAGATGCGCTTTCCTCTTTTCTTGTTCCTATTCCTCTCTTCTTTGCTTTTTCTTTTTTTTTCTTTTGGGGCGGGGGTGGGGGATTAAATTTATCATCATCAGGCAGCAACTTATGGAATAACTTGTTTGGAATTCTGGTTGAACACTGGACATGTCCTTTGGAGCGATTTCTTTTGATACATTTGAGTTCAGGAACAGAATACAACTAAAAACATCATGGTAGTAGCAAGGGTTGCATTATTCTCTGGTGTCCGCGGTTGAAATAATATGTTCACATTTTAATAGTCTCCTTGCCCTCGCATGGGTTATAAGATAGGGTTGAGTTTCTTCGGTCTATGCATAGTTTTATACAAAATTCCCTTCTCTGACATGCCTGGCATGGTTTTATAAGATTTTCTTGTTCTCCTAGTGTTGCTTTGCCCTAACGTATGATCTAGAGTTGTGATTCTTCAGTGCTTCACTATGCATAGCTTTATTAACAGGGTTACAAATGTATTTTTGCCTTCAAACTATCTCACAAGTGTACTGGCTATCCTAAACTATCAAATGGTGCAACATTAACACAAATTTAAAAAATGCTACAGTATTACTCTTACTGTTAAAATGGAGCAATCGTCTATTAATTGTGTGGTGTGTAGCCTACAAACGCATCTATGTTTGCTTTTAACTGAGATTTACTTCCTTTTTTTTTTTTTTTAAATGGTATGGATCACATTGCAACTTTTTTAAGTTTGAAGGTCAGATTACGCCACTTAATAATTTAGGATACTTATTGCAAAAATACCCTTTAATCCCTATGAATATACTCCTTGTTTGACATGCAAAAGGATGAGAATTTTCTTACACCTCTATTCATATCCTTTTTTTTTTTTTTCAGTTTCTCTGAGAAGGGTATGTTATCCTTCTCCTCATATTTTTTGTCTTCCTCTCAAATAAAATTTCATATTCAATGTATCTATAACCTTCTGTATTCTTACTTGGATTGTGAAGCGCAAACAATTATTATGAAGAGAAGATCACTTTGATGGGTCTTGACTTCAATATAGTGGGATACGGACATAACAGTAGTTATTAAGAATGTTCAGCAAATACAGAGACGAGTCTTTGAATAGGCAAGCTATTTGTATTAATGACGACATAAACACAACAAAGGTAAAATACATGAATATTATTGAATTGATAAATTTGAGTGAGGCAACATCTTAACACACGACAAACAATTAAACGTCAGAGCTGAACTTGTTCTACAGTTCATCTTTAGGAGAGGATGAATGTGGTGTTGGGTTAGTGGCAGAGTTTTTGATGGGGTAGGAAGCCTCCATTGCTATGCCACACAAGCCTTCCTTGTCTGATACTCCTCTTTGCATCCTGATGTAACCTCCTTCTCCCCATTCTGGTCCCCATGAATTCTTCACTATCCAATATTTGGTTCCATCCACAGTCGTCCCGTACCCAACGACTGCCACCCCATGATTCAACTCTGTTGTACAATCTCCAGTAAATACTCCCTGCAATCATTTCACTCATCAATTTTAGGAACCGTTTGTTTTTGATCTAGAATACATAAGATCCCATGAAAACATTAAGTTTGTCCAATTTCAAGCACATGTTGTTCCTAAGTATGTTTCAAACATTCAGTGATTTGAAGATATATATGAAATCTACCTCTGAATAGAATTGGAAATCAAAGCCTCCAGCATCAATGGCTACAGATACAGGTTGGTTGGCTACGGCTTTGAGCAGAGCATCCTCGTCATTAGCAGGAACATTCTCATGCCCATCAATGGAAACTATAATGTCATTCTCCTGCAATATCAGCAAACGTAGCCTCGTAAGTTTTACGATTATTATTATTAGTCAAACGTATTTTGAATCAAACTTGAGGAAAACGAAGTTGTGTGTGTGGACCTTTGACGCATCACAAGTTCCAGCTTCGGCCAGGTAAGGGTAATCTTTTTCTGTTGCTAGGCCACCTTTTTTCTTGATATACTCGAAGGCATATTCCATTAATCCACCATTGCATCCTTGGTTCTGTTCAGTATCACAGTCAACTAACTCTTGCTCAGACAATGACACTAACTTGTGTGTCTTGATTTGATTGATTCCTTCAACTGCTACTACTGTAGAAAACGCCCAACAACTACCTATACCAATAAAAAGATTCTCATCACATTCATAAAAATCAAAAAGCAATTACATAAATACTTGAGAATGTTTCAATGATATGCTTACCACATTGGCCTTGATTTTTGACTGGAGTGACAGCACCTTTCTGCCTCCAATCAACAGAAGGAGGAACCCTACCAACATTCTCGTACATGAAGGTTTCATTGCCACGTGGAATGCCTCGGAACATCCTGTGATGATTAACCTTTGATCCAGCATAGGCATTCCTGAATTCATGGTTGGTCATGTCAGCAAACTTGTTCAGCTTGAGTTTGTACGGCTTATCCATCTTGTTTGTGTTGCGCACGTGCATGACATTGGCTTTGAACACATTGAATCGCTTCTTCTTCTCATCAAGACTCCGAGACACTGTGTGGTGGCTCCTCCATCTCTCGTACAAATCCCACAAGCTCTCCTCCGACGACAAATCCTTCTCGTGAAAATCAAAGCTCTCAGACACTTTGAGAACCAAGGCAAGTGATAAGGCAACCCACAAGAGCTTCTTCATCTCCATAATGCTTCGAATATCAATTCAGGAAAAGATGATTAGAGGGGAAACACACATAGCGTGAAGATGCTTTATATAGAGAAATAGGATAAGAGGTAGGAGACGGAGTTAGAGGATCCTTACGGGAATCAACAATGTGTTATAATTGACAACATGCTAAGGCTGGCACTCTAGAAGTACAAGGAAGGATGTGTTTGGTTTAGTTTAATGAACGAAGCAATTTTCTTTATTACAGAAATGAATATTATATCCCTTTCAATGTGTTAAATAATACAGGAAGTTTTGCCATATGTGAAGCATTGTGAGCTTGAAGGATCATCTTTCGTTGGCATGCCCACCACGCTATTACATGAAGCAGCAGGGTGGGCAGAGAAGGGGTGCTAAAGCATGGTTTCGTCTGGTTTTGAATAGTGTGATATGCGTTGCAAGTGCATCATAGCCTTCTCATAAATGCATATACACTTCAGAAAAGTTTTGATCATTGATATGGAAACTATGGATCTAAAAAGTGCATTTAGAACAGTTATGAAGTAATCAAATTTCTAATACTGATTGAATTCCATTCATTTCACATTCAGTTTTGCTTTATTCAACATGGAAAACAAAAGTGTTATGGGTGAGTTATTAAATATAGATATAAGCTTCCTTGTAAACGTAAAACTCACTGTTTTGGCTTCTAGTTAATTATTCCGATATTCCAAAAATGGTTATCAGAAGTTGGTTATCAGAACTTCCATTGTGTAGAAGCTACTGTGAGGGACAATATTATAATAATAGTTTCACACTGACAGACATTTGACTGCAGGGCGAAGCCGTTGCTTGTGGTGAAGAATTGCATTAACTTAACGTAATGAGAAATTTTAGATTAAATAAAGGAAGTGTGTTAATAAAGCAATGCAATGCCTTCTGAGTGAAGTACAAGGAGAGCCATGTTATGTCAGAGGCAAGGGATTCGGATTGAGGTGTGTCATGGAAAACGACCAAATGGGTCGCGTGCCTTAATTGCATTCATCCTTAAACGGATATGCTTCATCTGATATCACAAACCCACAAGCGTTACCCCAAATTCTCAAAGCACAAGTCCACATTCGGTGGAAAGACCAGCACATCGCTTGTCGGGTTCTTCAGGTCCAAGTCTTTCCAAAAGGTATTATTAATATAATAGAACACACTGACAATTCTCAGAGTTTCAACTGCACACGAATTCTTCGAACCATTTGAGGAGCCCTCTACGATTCTCCTCCCCAAAAGCCTCATAACTTTTAATTATTTGCTTCTCAATCCAATTCTCCCAGGAAAAAAAAGAAAAAAGAAAAAAAGATTCTTCCTTTTCTTCCCATAATATGTTTCTTCGTTATGATCGCCTCAGCAGCCAGGGTTACAGTTCAAAAGACAGGCACCCCGTATTTACCCAGCTTTTGCCAAGCTCCCCCCCCCCCCCGCGTATCCATTTTATGTTAATTTCAAATTGTTTCGATGATATACTGAAGTTATATTAACGGTAAAGGAATAATAATATATAATCTTAATATATCGATTAATAATCCATGCTTTGTTGAGCTATTGAATGATTACTGTAGTTGCAATGAATATTTACATCATCCCCAATTCCAAGTTTTGAATGATATACAGTTTATGAACATACATGATTTTTTTGAGAAAAGAATTGAGCTGGCGAGTCTGAAAACTGAGCATAAAAGTTAAAAGAAACCACTTCCTAATGAACAAGTGCATTCGTATAAACACGACCCCATCATGTCCAGACACAAACAACCCCATTCTTGTCAGCTGAGGCAAGGGGTTTTCCAAGTCCACTCCACGTACAACACAACACAGGCGAATTGTGTTCTTTCAGAGTACTGACAATATCAGACTTGGATACAGACCAAATATAAACAGATCCATCGGCAGATCCAGCAGCCACATAGTTATCATCAGGACTGATGCACGAGCGGCTCCAATTAGAAGCCACTCTGTTTCCTGTGGCTCTCAGTGTGCCACAAACCTCCATAGTCCGCACATCAAACAAGTTATGTAAATTGTCCCTTCCACTGGTCAACACAACATTTCCATTCCGAGAAAGAGATATAGAAGTGACTGGAAGCGAATGTGCAGCAACCTCACTAAGTAGCCTTCCAGACTGAATATCCCATAACCGAAGATTTCCATCAACGTGACCAGAAAATATGGTCTGTCCGTCCATGCTGAAGCAAAGAGCATTACAGTTGCTGTAAAAGATTATTGTGTTGGTGCAGTACCCTTTCACCAAGTCCCAAACTTTGATAGTTCGATCATGTGCCGAACTGACTACATGGCGACTCGAAACCTTGCTGACATCAACAGCACACACTTTTTCTGTATGACCAGTGAGGGTATGATGAACCCGGCCTGTATTCACATCCCACACGTACAAGTTGTTTGAGCTGCTAGCAGCAATAACAGATCGATTGTCATGGGTAACTGTGAGATCCAAGACAGAGCCAAGGCAGCCATAAAGATTAGAACTCAAGGATCCTGTATTAGTGTCCCACACTTTAACTGACCGATCATGTCCCCCAGTAATCAATTTACTGGAGTTGTACACAAACAATGCGGAAGCACAGCCACCTTCATGGGCTTGGAGCCTGTATTTGCACGTGGAGGGGTTAGTTGACTCTAGAAAGAACTCGGCACCTTCTTCACTTCGTCGAACTATGCCATCTACTTGCTGCTTGGCTAGTTTTTCCAAATCACTGGCCTTTAGCCGTTCAACCATGTCCTCATACAGTGCATTTACCTAAGTAGATAAAAATAACAACATAAGATACTCAATTTAGCAAGGAAGCATTTAAAACCCTGCAAGCTAAAATTATCAGCACCACAGTTTAAGGATGCGCCGCATGAATATCAAATTGATTCAACTATATCACGCAGGGTCTAAATTTCGAGTCAAGTTGAACCCCCCTCCCAAATCCCCACCTAAAAAAAAAAAAAAAGGGGCAGAGGGCCTAACCAGTTTGGAGGTAATTCAACAGAGATGGAATCAAGCTAACAACTACAGTAGTAACATAAGCCAATTATAATACAATTATCCTGAGAGAGGCTTATTGCTCGCATACCCTTTGATGTACCCACAACACTTGACTGTTGCTACCCAATCAAATGATAAAGCCAAATTCCTCCTCAAAAAGTTGTGTAGAAACACTAAGCCATCTCCTCTCAAAAGAAGACATGGAGAACGAATAAATTATACCTCATTGAGGCGTTCAGCATCCTTCATCTTTTCCAGCATCCACCGGTCAACTAACATCTTGTTTTCAGCCTCAGTATTCTTGGCTTTGACAATCATCTGTTCCAACTGTGCTTTAAGTTCTGCATTCTCACTAATAACCAGTTCCAGAGCTTTAATCTTTTCTTCCAAGTCTTTCCTTAATTGAGAGCTCTCATCCCTGCAACATTTATTTAAGTTGCAATCAATTGTGCAACAGCATGAACAAAACAACTAGACTTTACAAAAATTAACACATAGAAAGAATAGAAATCAACCTGAATTCAGTCAACTCCTTTTGTAGATCATTGATTGCAGCCTCTTTCTCTTGAACCGAAGCTTTTGAAGCTCTGGATTCAGCTACTTCAACAACCAGTTGCTCAGACAATCGGGATTGCGCTTTGTAGCATTGTTGAAGTTCCAACTGCAGATTCTCTGCTTTCTCCTTCCACTCGGAGCCCTACAAGAACATGCAATGTTTAACTAAATAAAGCATTCCAATTTTTAAATGAACTCAACCTGACCCAGCAACATAATCCGAGTAGCTAAAATAGCACCAAAAACACCAATGACAAGCATTGATAGATTTCTCATTGCCTAAACATTCAAAAGCAGCATTCCTCAGTTCAGAGTGTCAACCGGGAAAATTAGAAAAAAAAGAAACAAAAAGCGATGAAGCAGGCATCCAGAACCAACATCTTGGTGCAGAAGAGATATTGCACTGAAACATCGCAAATTGGAATCTTTTTTATTTTTCTAATAAATGGATCCTTGCATATTCTCTATTTTTTCAAAAGGAAAAATTATTTCTCTGCTGACACTGTCCAGTAGTAACCAATGATTCAACAAGTTTATAGATGGTAACAGGAAAAGTAACTATGCTCCCAGTATTTCAAGTGGTTAAATTGGAAGCTGGATCTTAACTTTTATGAATTCGATAAAATTCCAATTAGCGATAGCATGAATAAAATTCGGGGACCTGGGAAGCGATAGGCCTGGAAAGAGCTTCCAAAGCCGGAGCATGAGCGCCTTCTTCAGCTAAATGACGCTTTCGCAGAGCCTTCAAAGCGTGCTTTATAGCTTCATTCGCAATATCTTCTTGTGATTTACAACAAGACTTAGCCATTATATCACCTGCTCAATTGGATGAAAAGTAAATATGAAAGATCTATTAGAGAAATCAACATAAAGTATTATAATTTCGATAAGAAATCGACTTGAATCAAGTGCATGCGTTTTTCTCCATGTTTTTAAAGCGATTTAGATACCGTTTTATTCCCTAAGTTCCTCCTAATTTCACTTACACATTGAGAATGCTGTGCTCGGTCTGAACTAACGCGATCCGTAAGGCAAGACTTAGAATCGCGTACTTATATTTCGAAATACGGTAGAAACCCCAAAATATCTCGCTTCGCTCGGCCAAGTCTGGAAAGTTGTGCGTTTACCATGAAGATAATAGCGGACGACCATCGAAGCTTCGTCACCAAATCCCCTCTTCATCATCATCAGTTGATCGCCTTCTTCTTCGTCAAATTATTTTCTTATTTTTCTTTTTGGTACAACGAAATCCCATTGATTTGGGCTTAACATTTCTTTTTCTGGTACGCATGGCAGTTGGGCTCAACATTTCAATTACCATGTTTTTATGATTTTATCAAGGTATCAATACCTCGGCTTATTTTGATGTGTGCCCTGATGATCTGAAGGGCTTTGTGCACCGTGACAGTTTGGGATTTAGTCCCACTTTGAGTTAGTTTTTCTTTTTGGGCTGAGCCTTCTTTTGTACCAAAAATAAAAATCAAAGGTCTCGTATAAAACGAAATTTATCAAAACGTCTGATTTAATTCCAGCCCAACAAAAGTTTGGGTTAGAAAAATGGGCCGAGGAACAAACTGAAATCTCGCCTAAAAAAGAAGGACAAAGCGAAAGAGTTTTATTTTTATAAAAATATTTATAAGAATTTAAAATAAGCAGGTGCAATCAAGTCATAAATTATAATAAAAAAAAGATCGTTGCATTAATAACCCCTTTTCGTTTGCGAATTGACTGAAGAAGACTTGTTTTCTTCCTTTTTTTTTTTGGGGAAAGTTCAGTAACTAGGACATTTTACATGATTTTAATTGTAATTATACTTTTTACCTGAAATGCTTCAGCAGTATATCAATATTATACAATGACAGCTGAAGTGAAATTGAAAAACAAAAAAATATTGCTAAAATGTCAATTAAAAGAGAATGGGAGGAGCGCAATGTAATTCAGTATCCCTCCCCTGTTACCTTTCAAACACGGTCTATCTGACGATGAAACTGGGCATTGTTCAGTCTTCCCGTTTGTTTATGCTCTCAATAATTGACAAATAAATACGATTAATTGTTGAATACCAACGGCACCAGCCATGAAAATATTTTCTCTCAATGTGTAACATCCTCTTTGGCAAATCTAAATAAAGCCAATGCTAAGAAAACATAAATGGCCGGGAGAATCCCAGAGAGCAAGGTATAAAAAGCATTAATAATCACCTTGTATCAGGAACTTCATTTTCTTTCTTCAAATAAAATAACGTTAGAGTCACTTGAATTGGGGAAAAAACTAAGATGACGACTTCCAACATATCAAATCTACATGAACATTAAAATGTAGCTGCAACAACATACACAAATCCTGCAAACCATAAGTTAAACCCCCCCAATGTAAGTAACTGTATATGTATCTTTCACACCTTCCCCCTCCAATGTATAAACCTCAGCAACAATCTTCCATTGCTATAGGACGTTCAACCAGCTCGAATTCTTTCCCGCCAATCAATGCTCTTCCAAGCCCTCTCGAACTGGACATCAATGCTTCTCCTGGACTTGTCATGGTGCTCCACATTTTTCCTAGACCTCTCCGACTGGTCAAAAGACATCCTTACCTTGTCAAATTTTTCGCCACTGTTAAATTTATGTTCATGATGTTTCAGTTTTTCTGTCCTATCAGTGCTTTTCCTTGGTTTGTCCCTCTGGTCTGTACTCTTCCTTGGAGCTTCAAAGCAATCAGTACTTCTTCTTGGTTGGTCAACTCTATCCTTGCCTCTCCATAAGTTTGGTCTCTGAGATGGAGGTTTTTCTACTGTTGACACAAATTTTCTGAGATGTCTAAGGTATTCTGGATAGAGTTCCAAATTACAGTGGCTTCCTCCTTTGAGCCATAAAGGTTCGTACTTCTCTTGACATAGCTCCCACAGCTGCTTTCCATGAGAGCAGTCAACAACCTCATCAGCAGTCCCCTGAATAAAGCATCAGAATGATGCCATATCAGTTCCACTATAGGAATCTAACTCTACATCTATCTACATATAGATATATATATATATTTAAAAAGATTATGACAAGCTGCACAGTTTCTCAAGTTCCTTATAATGTATGAGCCCCTATCTAGCTCATCTTGCACAAACAATAATCAGAGATAAGCGATTTATGTGAAAACAAGTCACAACTATACTCAAGAAAATAGCTAAGTTTATCTGAGCAACACAAGCCTTTGTCTCTCCCACTTTGATGCCATTAAAGACTGCTCCAATAAACAAATTCCTCGATGTAGTGTTAGTTATCAAGCTAGGATGGGTTGTTCTCTGCCTGTCAAGAGGTCATATTTCATATCATGGTTTTCTTGTACCAGAAAGAAATTTATAGCTGGCAGCACTCATCACTATGACCTCAGGACTAAATCAGTACTGGTGACAACAATTCCAAAACTATATGATAACATCCAGATTATAAACATTAGCAAGTGGAAATTCCAACAAAACAAGGGTCCAGGACTCACATGAATTATTAGCACAGGACACTTCACCAGCGGAATTTTATCAATGTTCTGCACACCAATAGCACAAAACTAAATTCAGACGCATAATAGCACGTAGAAATAAATTCATAACCAAGTGAGATCAAGCATCAATAATAATGAAAAGAATCTGACCTTATAAATGTCAAACCAGTATGTGCGCTTTACAGGGTACATGACTCTCAACCCTGATAGTATTGGACTGTGGAGAACAACAGCCCTCAGGTGGGGTAAACGGGCAGCAAGATCTGAGGTAGGGCCACTTCCAACTGATTGACCATAAAGGATTATGTTTTCCTGCTTGGCACCATAGTTCTCTTCCAGACACTTGTATGCAGCTTCAATGTCAGCATATGTATTATGCTCACTTGGCTGTAGGGGAAAAAAATCCATTAGCCTTTTTTAGGTTACATTTGCCTGCTAGGATATAAGATGAATCAAATGTACCATAAAGAAATGCATAAATATGTTACCTTTCCTGAAGATTGTCCATAGCCAGAGTAGTCGTATCTGCAAACATTGAACAAAAGCGTTTAAGAACATTTAAAACATCAACTTGGTAAACTTTTCCTTCAAAAATTACGGAGCTATCATCTGATAAGCAAGTACAGTCTTTCAACTTCCTCATAAAATGGTTTGTAAAGGGTCTTTTTGATTGATTTTTTTTTGGGTGTGGCGACAGGGATGAGCAATCTGAAAAATACCGCCTCAACCATGGATGCTAAATATGCAGCATCACTGCCTCCTGAGGCTTTTACCTGCCTCACCAGAACCTTTCCTAGTCCAGTGAAAGACAAAGATTTACCATTTAGGAAACTGAAATAAGAAGCTGATGCAGTTCCACTTAAAATAGTTGGACATGCGTCATTGATTGAAAAATCAATCAACTAGGGTCTCCAATTCCATTTTTGTTTGCGAGACACAAGGAGTATACTTTGCCAACAAAGAAAGAGTAATCTCCCTCGGGTTTACAATTCCATTTATCATAATGAGGTGTATATGATGTTAATATAGGTCACAGGAAACAATAAATTTGATGCAAGCTGTCAAATCAATCGAATCTAACTCAAAGTTCATTATGAGCAAATTGTTATTGTTAGAAAAAATAGTGCTCAGAATCGTAACGTTTGGCCGGAATGTTAGTGATAAAACCACGTGTGCTTCAGATGTGGTGCTACTCTAGATTGTGAAAGACAATAAATTAGGTTTCAGCCGTCAAACCAATCAACGGTTACTCAAAGTTTGTTATAATTCTTTAGGATTAGAGATAGAGCTCAAAATCATAACTTTTGGCATACAACGACAAAGCCCCATGTACTTATTGCCAAAGGGGAAATCATCCACTAAGTTTAACAGCCTAGATAGGTGACAAAATTGTTGACCTCCATATCTGAAATAATCTAACTAGACTTAACTATATTTTTACAAGCAAATTTCCAACTAGGTTAAGAATTAATACATTTAGAATGGACATTGTTTTGTGCGTATATTATTAAAACAAAAGGTTTTTTTTTTTTTTTTGGTTGGCCCCGGGGGGGGGGGGTATGACATTAACATTCACACATTCAGCTATTATCTTCCAATGAAGCAATAATTACATAAAAGATATGGTTGGTCTCATCAATTTAGACTAAAGGCAAAGCAGATCTACACAAAGAAACCACAGGAAAGCATTAGTTATCCTCAGCCCTCAGGCCAGATAACATAGAAAGCATAATTTAACCGATCCCATTCGCTCGTCAATAAACTAAGAGAAATGAGTCAAAGGAATCGTTTATTTTATCCAACCTATCAACATTGGAGCCATATCCAGGCTGAACAGGACCATCGACCTGCCTTCGTCAAGTAAACGCACTAATTTTAATCAAGACGATGGTAAATTTGTCATTTGCAAAATACATCAAATAAAAAATATAATTTGGGAAAATTAGTAAGGGCAGTATCGCAGGATCGAAGGTACCTCCTCAAGGGTAACGAAGAAAGTTTCTAGAAAATTCAACAAAACGAAACACGGAAATGCGCACGCATGGAGACTGGGAAATTCATACATCAGACAAGTATCGTGAACTGGAGAAAAAGGGAAGGGTAAATTTTGAATTACCCCATGAGATTGACGCGCAAATGGATGCTCAGCTCGACGAAGAGCTCGTACATCTGCCCGATATCGGCGGCATTCCCGTGAGAGTAGAGAATGGTGGATTTGGCCAGGGGATGGCGGACATACATTGCGACGATCTCATTGCCCCGACGGGTGGGCAATTTCAGAATTTCAACGTTCTCGCGGTGGGGAAAGGGGTCCAAGAGCAAGAGGCCGGTAGCTTCTTCCTTAACCAGCTTGTAGGACGGCGGACTCGGAGGAAAGAAAGCCAACTTAGCAGCCATGGAAGAAGTAACCCCACCCATCCTCCTCAGCAAGAAAGGAATATCTCTCTTTCTCAGTCTAAGAGTGACTAAAATCTGCCGCTAGACAGAAGAAGAAGCCAATGAACATGCCTTAATTCTTCTTTCACCTTCGTCCCCTACTAAAATGTTCACAGTTTTTGAGAGGGATTTTTGTTGGTATTAGCACAGTTGAGAGAGTGGGAACAGTTTTGGTTTTGGGCTGGTTTGCTCGCATCCACGCTATCTAGGCATTCGCAACCATAGATTAGTCTTTCACACCTTCCCATCCATTCGTATTTTTAAGGGCAGCGAATTTGTGCTTAGTTGTCCCCCGGTCACCCTCACGTGTTCCATTATTGACCTGAGAACTCCCTCCTACTCCCTTAATGGTCCCTCTTTCTTTTTGCACTCCCACCCTGCTTCTTTTCTGTATTTTCACGCCGTCCCCCTTCCTTTCCTTACTTTTTCTAACATTCTGGCTTTGATAAACTGGCACACAACAACATAATACATCAAAGAGAAAATTAGGAAAGAGAAGAGATTAAAGTGGCAAACATCTAAAGTGGCAAACTTGGGTAAAAAAAATGTGCTATACTAACATTTCCGTTCATCTGAGGAGGTTTATACATACATAAATATTGAGTAATAATTACAATGAATCAAAGGGTTGGATCAACACCCAAAATAGGAAAAAAGATCATATCAAACTAGTTAAATGTATTAGATAAAAAGAATTAATCGTTTAAACAAAATATATTATAATCCTCATATCCTAAATATAAGAGTCACTTTATAGTTACACTAGAAAGTGGGTTTTGTATTTAAAATCAGAGGAGTATTACGATACATGTTAGATGCTCGAGTCTCATAAGACAAGGGACACCTGTGATGAGAGGCATAGTCATGAATTTGAATCATATTAATCTATTATCCAGATATTTAATAATAAGATTCAGAAAAAATGTCTAACATTTCGAAAAATTCAAAATAAAAAGGGAGGGTGAAGATGGAGGAATATAAAAATGAGGGAGGGGGAGGGTGGGGTAAGGAACAGGGTGTGGCATATGGGTTGACTTGGTTTGAACATGATTTGATTTTGAGAAGGGAGGGACTTTCGGCTGAGCTGCACAATGGGACCTCACATTGAGGCATGAATGAATGTCCTCTTCTTCATCCTCCTCCGACTCAGTACTTACTCATTCACAGTCCTGTCCTGCTGCCCAATTCTCAGCATTGTCCCTTTAATTTAGTCTCACGTTCATCTCACGCATCGACACGCCTACATCGGGTTCGGCCCCTGGGACCCACACCAACAATAATATTCTGCCGTTCCCATGTTTTGTGTCTATTAAGGCTACCCCCCTCCCCCCGCCCTTCATCATACAAAATCATCACTCCTCCCGCCCTCCAGCTCCTCCCCCCGTACCTTTCCCTGCACGCTTTCCACTTTCCATGCTTTCTGCCCCCTTTTCTGCTCTTCATATATATATATATATATATTTTCCTGGGGGAAAAAGAATTGTTGGATTCAGTGACAGATTATACTAGCATTATTCTATGGGGGAAACTTGAGATTGGGTTCATAATTTTGCTCCTGACTTTTTTTATGCAATAACAATAATAATGTCATCGCCATGAGAAAATGAGGATGATTAGGGAAAATAAAGAATCATTTTTTTTACAGATATATCGCCCCCACTCTTGAAGGAAAAAGAATGATGATTTGAGCTTCCATTCTTGGGATCTATTCATGTCACATGTTCGTGGGATCTATTCGAAATCTTATTTCGAAAAATTGGCCAATAAAACTTTCACACATACAGAGCACCAGTTTTAGAATGTAGATTATTTTCTCTGATAAAATTTTTAATGAGAGATTTTAAAAAAAAATTTGCCCGTTTCATTTTCTTTCATGGGAGAGTTGTTTTCGGCCAGGATTCCGACCAAAAAAAAGCCCAGCCTAAATGAATGGGCCCATCGTTTTAATGCCCCGGTCCAGGTTATACTGATTCCCGAGACGTCATTTTCGCACAAAATTGTTGCTGACCACAGAAACAATACAAGACTCGGATAGCCTCTCGCGTTACTTTCATCACCGGTGTTTGAAATAGAACACAAGGAATTAATTCTCTTGGCTCCCTTTATTTTATCTTAATGTTTAAATCAATTCCTACATTTGTATTTTCTTTTCAAGCCAGTCCTTCCTTATGCTGTAATTCTGTCTTAAAATTAGTGCTCACAATTTGAAGCAGCTAAGATGTAACTCTTCTAATTAAGGTTGCGTGTCCAAAAATTACATCCAAAGGTGGAGTGCTGAAGTATAAATAAATATCTTATGTGTGGCTTTTTTTTCTAATTTTTTTGTCGCTCATCCATATCCAACCGGGGACAGATCTTGCTGACATGTGCTTGCGGATAGACATGCAAAATATACATGTGTGTTTGTGTGTTACATCTTATTTCTGCCAGAAATTATAGGAACTAACACCGAGACAGAACTGAAGCATGACAAATAATTTCTACGGCCATCATAAAAGGAAAGAAAGATAAATTGATAGATTATAGGGGCCGGTTGAGAGAACAGTGGTGAAATATGAGGAGGCGGAGGCTAATTTTCAGGAAGAAAAATGATAGCCGACGAAGTCATGCGAAAGCGTGTGAAGTTTCTTATTATTGTGCAGCTCAGCGCAAATCAAAATGTTGAGATCCACAAAATTTCTTGTGGATGATGCCTGCACAGAGGTCTCTTTTTATGCGTGCTTTCAGTTCCAAGTAATTTTTATTACTGAGCTCACAGTTCAGGGTGTTGGAAACTACGAATAATGACATTAGGCATATTGGAGAAAGCACTGTAGAAGGTAATGGATTATTTAAAACTGCATATCTCTTCCTTGAGAAAAATGCTTGCTTGGTGGGATCGATCCCACTAAAGGCAGAGCTGGGCACACTTCTGCACGTTTCTAATTCACACACATCAATAAAAATAGTTACACGCATTGAATCTATCATAAAGTTCAAATAATTCTTAATATTATTCTTATCAGCCACATGAAATTCCAACGCCATATTAATATCTACTTTCTTACTATTCTTATTAAATATAAACATATGCGGAGAAAAATATTTAATACTCGTTAAAATAATCAAAACATCTTACAAAATGGATCAAACTATCTTCTAAATGACTTCTCCTAATACAGACCAAAGCTCAATTGTTCAAAATTAATAATACAGCGATGGAGAGATGAGAAGGTGAAACGAGAGAGAATTCACTGAATTGCAATTGTTTGATTTTGTAGATGACAGAAGTTTCTTAGTTAGAAATTTAAAAATCTTCACCGTTGAAAAATATGCTATAAATTTTAGATGTTCGGATGGCTTTAATAAGGAAGAAATAAGAAGTAAATCTCTTCCAACCTTAAGGCCTAAACCACTGTTTAAAAGTTGTGGAGTCTTGAGAGACTGGGCCCGGTCATACTTTGGGCTATAATTTCTGTTAGGTAGTTAATTTTCTTTCCCCTGCTGGGTTAGTTAAGTGGCGCTATACTTAACTATCGTTTGACGCAATCTGGGAACGGACTGGAATTAGGAGTAGAATTGCGGGCTTGTTCGCATAACAACGTAGGAGCTGATCGATTAGGCGATGAGAGCGGGAACTGTTTAAAACCTGATTAATCTTTAAAAGCTGATTGACACAAAATCAACACAAAGCAACTGCAAGCTGATCCGTTAAAAAGAAAAAGAAAGTGGGAGTGGACTGGGGGCTCATAAACACGTGATGAAGGTTACCGCTTGCTCCCTTCATTATATCAAGGGTGCTTGTTTGTCTCGACATGAGTGGAAGCTTTTTCTTTTTTCTTTTGGTCAAATGTTTATGAGAGATGCAAAACTCCTCCTAAATGTCAAAGATGAAGAAGAGAGATAGAAAAACCATGAAATTAATGAACATGAAGCTGTACTCATATTAAATAAGAAAATTAAAGTTTTATATTGAAGGTCAAAACAATTAATCTAAATATCTCTTAAATTTTAAAGTGGAAAGAGTAAAATTCATAATAATGGATTTATATTTTTATATAATACATGGCACATTTAAAAAAAAAAAGCCAGTTGGGGTTTATAGTCCAACGACATTAAATATTTTTCTGGAATCTTTTTTAAGTGTGAGTCTGAGTTTTTTTGTGAGTTTACACCGTCTGTAGAAACTATAATTGGCACCTGTCACAACCAATTTTCTTTTCCAAAAAGCCGAATCAGCGAGGGTCCATTTTATTAATTTAAGAGGGGGAAAAAATGAGCGCGTCAACAACCGCCACTTGTAGCTACGGATAGAAAGCATCTCCTACGCCCTAAGCCGTAGATGTGGTCAGCACTTAAGTCAGCGCGCGCACTAACTAACTTACCTTAAACAGTTTGTTCCCAACCTCCACCTTCTCTTACCAATCATAGCAATGCAGCTTCTTCTTTAATTGACGGGCTGCCGTGTGTCCATTCAGAATAATAACAAATAAAATAAACTTGTCCCACAATGTTCATTCTTTTCTATTTTAAATTTTTAAATATTTCCTACGACCTAGCTGGTTTTGTATTTAACAGAAGTATGGGTAGAGTTTTTAAGTTCAACCTCACTACAACAAATTCAAACGGATCCAAACAAGAAGAGTAAAATTTGCCCCAAAAAAGGGTGCGTTTATTGAAACATTATTAAAAATAGCATCTAAAGTTATGAGTTTAATTTTTTAAAATTGTTTTTCTCTCGTGAGTTTTTTCCTTGGGAAAATGTTAATTAATTCTTGATTTTTCACGCATAATATAGAACGGAAAAAAGTAAAAGCGGAAACTACAAGGAACGTGGCACGACGAACCCTTCCCGTCCGTCCGTGGGAAGAAAACGCAAAAGCTTTTTGGGTCTACGGCCAATGAAACTCAACCAAAGTGCAGTTCATTACAGTATTACACAACTGACGCACCGCATTGTTAACAAAATCTAATTAACGCCTTTAAAAACATTATAAATATATTCACACAACACAAACATAGGCTTGTGTGCCACATTCCATGAACCACCAAATTGGCATACTTTTAGGTCAATTCCATTGGAGACATGCTTTGTCTTAAACACAAACAATTCATATCAGAACGACACGTTATCAACCTATAGGCCCCGACCTACACATAACCCTATACACACGCAAGCTTCGACATAATTATATTAACACTTGGATCCCCATAGTTTATTAATCGGGAAATCGTTAAAGATGTCAT